ATGAAACAAGGGTTATCAAAGCTAAGGGCAGAATTCTGCAAATGCAGTCAAGATGATCAGATATGGTGAAGAATGTGAGAATGTTACAGGAATGAGGTGTCATGTTCCAGTCATAATAGAAACAATGGTGAAATACATGTAATTTGGATTATTCTACACGTTAGCAGATTAATTTGCTTTGAAACACTGTGGACACCAGATTGAGGAGACAGTCCAGTTGCAAGCAGAAGCATCTAATCAATTTCCCAATCCCCATGCTTGGTTTTGGTTTGCTTGTAATCCCTCTTGCCTTGGCCTTAAAAAAGTTAGACATTGATATTTCATTCAGTGTTTGCTATTGTGTATACTATCTATTTGTGTCTACTGACATAAATATTTAATCATTCATATCCTTAATTACTTTAGCGATCACATATTATTGGAAAGCATATTTACTTAAGAAATTTTTGTAATTTGAAATTGTAAATATCAAGGAAGTTATCAATTAAAAACCTCTTCATTATTAATACATTTTATCTAGTTATTATTTCGCTGAAATTTAGTTTGTGATCGAAGTAAAACACTACGTATTACAGTACAGCTTCTTCACTGTCTCTGAATTTCTACATTTTGCATGGTGGCAAATTATATGCTTATGGCACACCATCAAAAAAAAAAAAAAAGGTAGACATTGTGAGGAAGGAGGTGAAATCTAGGAATGGGAACATCCCCAAACTCAGGTTTCTAATGACAAAGTTCTGTATGCCTTTTAGCACCCAGACTTATACATATAAGTTTTCAATAGACAAATCCCAGCTGGAGAGATGACCCAGTGGGAAAATTACTTGGTACATGTGTGCGAAGACCTAGGTTTGGATCCCCAGAGTCCATGTGAAAACTGGACATGGCTGTATATAGTTTTAGCCCCAGAGCTGAAGGGGTGAAGACAAGTAGATCCTGGAGGACTCGCTGGCTAGCCAGTGAAAGCGAGGCTCATTCAAGAACTTGTTTAAAAAATAAGGTGGAACATGACAGAGGAAGACACCCAGTGCCAACCAGTCATACATACACACACACACACACACACACACACACACACACACACACACACACACACACTTAAAACACACACACATATACAGAGGCAGGTGAGGTAGCGTAATGCAGACAGGCAGACCCCTGGGTTCACTGGCCAATCTAGTCTACTCGGTAAGCCTTTAAGTCAATGAACCCTGTCAGATAGTATGTGAGGATGATCTCTAGCTTCCACATAAACACACACCCTTGTGTGTGTACACACACAGAGAAGACAAATTGATTAAACTGTCTCTACTATAATTAATTATAACCTGTTTTATAAAGAAGTAATGGGGAGAAAAGAATGAACAGTAAGAATAATTCACTGAAAAATGTAACAGCTTTACCTTAGAAATGGTAATAGCTGTATGAACACATTTTGGGGTAGAATGTTCTATGAAAACAAGGTAAGAGTATGGTTTTCCTTTAAGACTGAGTTGTTGGGCTATTTTAGTTTTTCCAATCGAGGCTTGCTTTTTCTAAGCAAAATAATAAACTTTAGCTTACTCAAATTAAGCTGGAATCCCCAGGAAGTTGCCATTTCTCTTGGGCACTGAAGAAGGTAGGCGAGAGCAAGATGATGAGACAGGAGAAGCTGCATCAGATGGATAAAAGCTTGGATGAAGGGAGATGGGAGGAGAGGGAGGAAATATGTGGAGGGAGACTAGAAGCACAACACTCCACCCACTGTAAGAATGAGCACAGTAACGGCTGGCAAATCCTGTGGATGAGCTGAGTGCAGGCTGAGCCACGCTTCTCCACACAAAAGCCTGGCAGGCACACTAACATCTTAGAGCTGGCCAGTTGCATAGTAAACTGGTGCACTTCTTGCCAATGAGTGAAATATACATACCTATTTTCTTCTTGATATTTAAATTGGTAGGCAAGTATTTTCCATAAAGGACCAAATGGTATTTTAATTTTTTATTATTTTGTATTTTACATGTATGGATATTTTGCCTGCATGTATGTCTGTGACTGGTATCTTTGGTGGCCAAAAGAGGGCATCAGACTCCCTAGAACTGGAGTTAGAGATGGTTGTATGCTGCCTTTTGAGTGCTCAGAATGGAACCTAGGTCCTCTGGAAGAGCAGTAAGTACTCTTAACCACTAAGCCATCTCTCCCGATCTGGTTAAGCATTTTAGGTATTTTGAGTCTTGCAGTCCCTATTCCAACTACCCTTGCAGTTGGGACATGAAAACAGTGGTAATCAATATGTAAATGAATGGAAATGTATTCCAATAAACTATTACAAAAAATGAAAATATGTAGCATGCAGAATTGGCCTACACAGCATCACTTGTCAACCTCTAAGTCACAATTCCATGGCAGCAATGCCATACAAGAGGATTAAAAGAAACCACTTAGTGTTTACACTTAAGCTAATGTATGGGCTTTCCAGACCAGTGCCACATGGAAAGACACTTGTGAAATCTAATCCAACCCTACTGCACAATTATATAGATGGCTATGAAGAAAGATGCAACAAAACACACTAAGATATAACTTCCTAAGGTTTACAGTATGTGAGATGCAGTTCCTCGTGTCTTCACTTTCAGGTGTACATTCTTCTCTATACAATCAGCTACGTAATGGTAACTTTTTCCATATTGCTTCATGGATAACGTTGCACATCAGCCTCATTCGTATTATGCTGTAAGGTGCAGACTTAACAAACAGGAGCTGACTGGTCAAAGCATTGTATTTTCTTTATGACCATAAGATGGCGCCAAAATGCCACTTCTCAACCAATATACACTTCAGTATGCTCACAACAGGAAAAGTTTAGTAGGCAATCATCTGCCTGTAATGTGGTATATGTATTTTTAAACTATTTCAAAGTACATTTTGTCAGAGTTCTAATGCTAGAAACACAGCACCACAAAACAAACCTCTGGAACAAATCTATCTATTGGCCCAATTTCTGATCAGTGATACTGAGAGACGTGGTTTCTATAGAAAGCATTACCAAGAGGAAGACATGTAGCTATTACTTTTCAAATAAGCTAGGCATGGTGGTACACAGTTTTAATCCCAGTAATCAGGAGGCAGAGGCAGAGACAGGTGAATCTCTGTGAGTTCAAAGCCAGCCTGGTCTACACAGCAAGTTCCAGGACAGCCAGGGCTATACAGAGAACCCCTGTCTCACCTTCATCCCCAATCCTTACCCCTGCCAAAAAGAAAAAGAAATTTTAATTTTCATGGGCTAAGCAGCTATGCAGACATCAAAGAAATATAGTTACAAAGATTATTTGTCAGTTTGGCTAGAATTGAGCAAAAGAGGGTAGTAACAAATCAACCATGATGTGGACCAGCCCTACAAAACTGACCTTTCCTGCCACCCTGTATACATTCTTGTACTGTTCCCAGGAACACTAATGGGCTCAGATTAAACCGAACAAATACTACTAAGAATGAAAGCTATGGCTCAAATTTTCAATTTTTTTTCCCTCGCACTTCATCACATGACTCAATCTTGAATAAAAGTTCTTTTGCCAAACTTCTGCCTAGATTTATCAACAAAGAGACTTGGACTTGCATTTCCAACATTTTCTAAAGGATGAAACTTTACATATTTCCCTTGGCAATCTATAAGGTGCAGCAATAGAACCATCACACCCCTTTCCCTTTCATGCAATCTGGAACCATCTTATATTGATGTTTCTTCTGGGCTTTAAATACAGGTAGAATTTGTAATTCTCAAAACTAAGGTTAATGAATATTGTCCCCAAAACTGGACGTAGTACTGGCAGACTGAATGAGAGGAGGTTAGAAAAGGCCTTGGCTAACGTGAAACAAAGCTCTCTACTCTCCCGTCACAACATGTCAGAGCACATCACTGTTCTCTCATGTCAATCCCATTTGTCCACCACACAGCAAACTAAGCTATAGGACTCTCTGATTCAGACACACAGTCTTTCGTTCTCCCTGCCTCACCTCCTAAGAGATCTAACTACAGACACTAAAGAGAACTACCAATGGTTCCGACCAGTGCTCCCAGCTCGTTGGCCTGAACAAAAATATTGAATGTGAAAGCTCTATAGCAAAGGCAACTACAAGGTTCTTACTGCTGCCTTTTAATGTGTCCAGCTGTGTGCTGTGTGAACTATATCAAACTTATGAAAGAATCATGTTTGCCAAGCTGAGCTTTATTATTTATTTTTTAGTTGTATATGGGTATGTGTGTGAGCACAGGCGCTGTGGTGCATGCAAGGAGGTCAGAAAACATCCTGTAGAAGTCAGTTCTCTCTCTCTGCTATGTGGGCTCTGGGGATTGAACTCAGACCCTTCAGGATTAGTGGCAAGCTCTTTTACCCACTGAGCCTTCTTGCCAGCCCACTCATTTTATTACCTCCAAGATACCATGAGTTTCTCATTTCAAATGCGCCTGTGTCCCACTTAAATCTGCTTAGAGTAGGTTACTGTCTCAATAGCTCAAAAGCATATCTTCCATCATGAAACAGTGAAAAAGTTCTGTCACCACCTCCAGCCCTTCACATATACCTGCAGCCTTAATAACAGATATTCTGTGGGTTTCAATGTTCCTTCTACTCCCTACCAAGCCTTCTATGGACACTCTACTGTCCAGTTGCAAAGGCCTACTGCCTCTTGGCTGGAACTTCCCCACTGAAAGAGTTAGTAATATGCTCCTAGTCCTAGGAAATGTCTTATGGCAACATCATCCCACAAAGTAATTTCTCTCCTTCCACTGTAATATTTTAGGTGATATGTTTCACACTGGCCTCTAATATGAGAACTAAAAGCTTCCTAGATCAAAATACTTATTCATAAACCTAACAACACAACAATATTTATGGGAAATTGTCTGTTGATCAATACATTATCCATTATCAGCAATAAGCAACTCTTGACTACTACAAGCCAAGGCTATCAAACCAGAGTCTAACTGAACTCAACAATCACATCAAATGTCAACTAGCTAATAAGGGTAATCTGTTTATTCAGTCACAGACAAATGAGATTAATATTTTATGTCTTCATGTTAGTGTACACACCACTTTTAGATCACAGAGCTTAGTGTGAAAAGCCACTTCAAAGATTTTCAAATGCTAAAGTACAATGTGTGCTGTATTTATTTTAATGTATGTGTACTTTTAAAAGAAATGCACAAAGATCACTATTAACATTGATAAAATAGCTTCTTAATGTTTTTTATCTGCTTTTCCTCTTCAAGACGTACTAAAGGGCAAGAATGCCATTGTATTCCCAGTACACTCAGTTACTGAATAAAATTTGAATGGAAAAGTAATCAGTTCATTTCACAGCTTGTTTTGAGTTATTCAAGCCAAACAAACTGCACATACATTGCCAGGCAACAGGCAGAAAGCAATGTAATGTTAATTAATTCATAAATGGATAGTTACTGTGGTTACCAATTCATTTCAGTGAAAAACTATTTTAAGTGTGGACAAAACTCAGAGATCCAAAATTAAAGCAATTTCAATTTCAGAAAGATTACCATTTTATCAGATGTGCAGTGAATGAGTGTAAAATGTGAAAAACAACATATCTTATTCTCATAAAGGTAGTTGATACTGTTGGAAAAATCCTACACTCTGAGGGTGGGGCTCCTTGGGTTGTGTAACTTCACTATTACTTCACCTCAGGATCTCCCAGTGCCTGGCACAGGCATGGTCAGTGTTCAGCATCTGGTGCATTATTTCAAGGTTATCTCTTTTCTTCTTTGAAGCTTAGCTACTATGGGATCAAAAAGCCTAAAGAAGTAATCTTCACGGGGAGAAAAGAAGGGTACAGCCAGGGACAAGTCCTAGGATAAGGAGAATGAGTGAAAATTAAAAGTTAGATGCTAACACAATTAAGTGATCCATGCTAATCTGACCTAATGGGATTTGGAAAATTGAAATCTGGATCTGTATTACACATTTAATTCTTGTTTTCAAAACTATAAAAATGTCTGAATATTTTAGTATCTGCAAATATAATTTTAATATTAACAATACTAAGTGGGAAGTCATTAATGAGCTTATGGAAAAAATCATTTTATTTTTATAGTTCAAAAACCAAGTGAGAAGATAGGCACATTCATTTCATGAGTTATATTCTCAACCTATAAGGTAAAACAAAGAAGACTGGATATGCACTTAGTATGTATTTTTCAAGTCTGTAACAGAATGTAAAGACCTTTATAAAATTTAGCTATGAGACATGAAACCTCTAAGAGTTGATTAGACAATGATTTCATGTTCCATCTAATCAGACAGAACAATGTACACGTGACAGTTCAGTTGAAAAGAGTAACAACAAAGTGCAAACATTCTGAATCCTTATGCTCATGCTTCAGTAGTAAAGACTCAAACAACAGAACTCTCCTATCAATGACAGCACATCAGTGTTAACATTCATCATTAATATTGAACAAGCCTAGGAACAGTTTATTCTGACAGTTTATGAAATACGAAACATAACACTTACCTTTATTTCATCAAGCTTTTATAAAAACTGATGGTATTACACAAAGCAAATTCCATCAATTTCCCAAGCATGCCCAATGAAATAGAAGACACGGCACAAACAAATGGTATAAGGAACAGACGACTCAGGGTTGTGCTACAATCTAGGCCAACGCAGCTGCCTAGAAGATTCAGACAGGATCTCCCAAACACACCCTGGTTCATATGCTATCTATCTGAGTTTGGGACTTTTATTCTGTAAGTATAGTAGTCTATATTCTCTAAGAAATAGGCTTAAAAATATACATATGAAACAGTAATAAAGGTCAATTATTCAGCTGAAGTGTTTGATTTATAAGCAAGGAATGACAAAATGATATTGACAAAGTCTATTCATATTAACCAAAAAAGGAGACAAAGACATGTTAATATAATCTGCTATAAATTTGAACCTGGCCTTGTTTTTTACTCTATGCCTGTGAGTTAGCTATAGTTACTCTTAACTGCAATGCCAATGATAGCCCTGCTAGATCAAAGACTCACACCTCTATGAAAAACAACTACAAAAAACAACCATTTACACTTACAAAGAAGAGCAAACATTTACTTCAATTCCAGTATATGCTTTTCAGTCACAAAAAGAAAAGAGTTATCAGACAGTGGTCACATCCTGTGCAAAAAAACCTTGAAATACAAAAATGGTAGCACAAGGTTATCAGTCTGCTTACATTGCAGGAAAAAGGAAACATGGGAGCTGAAATACGGCACTCCTGGCAATTTCTAAACCGAAAGGAATGCCTTTGAAATGATTACATTTATTTGTGTGTTAGTAAGAAAGCCCCACCACCATAAATAGTACAATATTTAAAAATAAAAAAAATATTTATATCCATCTAAGACAGACAGTATATTTGTACATTAGAACTCTTTAAGTGCAGAAGGTGGTTCAGGTTTTACTGTTTGTATTTCTTAATTCAGTATTTGCCCATATGTTTATAAAGTTCCACTCAATTGCAAAAGCCAATTCAAATCAAAGAATATGATATCAAAGCTACATAATTTCACTTGGGACTACCAACAGGTTAAAAGTTTCAAATCAAGTCTTTAACATTAATGTTCATTTTCAGTCAATGGAAAGTTAAAAAGTCCTTAAATCTTCATTATCCTCTTGAACTTGCCCTTCTAAATGATTCTCAGACTGCAACTCGTAGTTTGCAAATAAAAAAAAATGCAATATGCATCATACTTCAAGAAAAGACGATGATGTTGAACTAGCATTCTTCTGAATCTTTTCCCTACTTCTTTCAACCTTCTTTATAATTTCAGACACAATGCACACTGATGAGGTAAGACCCAAAAGAAACAACAGATCTGCAAGAGAAGATAAACTGAGTTTTACAATTCTTTGAAATGCACAGCAACAGCTTACATATTATAACACACTGCTTCACAAGTATTTCACAAGGTAGAGATTGTTAGCATAAGTTAAAAATGTTGGGATGGAGGACAAACAAATGGCTCATAGGTAAATTCCTTGCTGGGCAAGCTAGACCAAGTGCAACCCAGAACCCACGGTGGAAGCTTAAAAGCAACTTGAAAGTTGACCTGACCTCTGTACCTGTGCTTCAGCACAGTGCCTGTACCCAGCACAAACACACACCAATAATAACTTTTAAAATGCCTATGAAAGGGAAAGCTCAAATAACTTGCCCAAAGTCACATAGCTATGAGAGAACAGTCAGAACTAGAACCCAAACTCTATGACCAATTCCCCTGAATACTAAGCTCACATGACAAACTTTTAACAGTAACAGAAAGGGTTTCCTATTTGATAATTTTTTGCAAAGCACTTTTCAAGAAGTAGTAACAAGACATTTGACTAAAAGTACCTTTCTAGTGACTGAAAGTTTTAGATATTACATTTCTGAGCCTAGAAGAGTGTCTTTTAATGGTATTTACACAATCTCTACTCTTATTTTTTTTCTTTAAAAAAATGGAGCTATGTTTTCTTAAATTCTGCTTTTTAAAAAGTGAAAGCAGTATGAATACAGAATTGAAATGTTAAAATTAAACTAGCCCAAATTTTAAGGTAAACTTCAACATATACCAAAAACTTAAGCACATTTCCAAATATATTATCCACATACTTAAGAACATTAGTTTTGAATGTTTACTTCGGTGCGGTTGTTGTTTGTAGTACTGGAGATAAAACCAAGGGCCTTGGCTTGCCACACAAACATATAACCAGCAAGCTTTTATGCCTAGCCCTGTATCATATACCTGATGCCAAAGAAAGAATAATGATTTCCACAGAAACATTATAAAAATTAATGTCTCCTGGATCAGACTAAGATTTCATGAATAAGAATGTGCTAATACAAATGGTGAAATACTAAGTGTATTTAAAAATGATTAAGTTGTAAAAACAATTTGATTTGATTTTATATGAGCTTAAATATAGTTTTATTGTTTCATGAAAGAAATGTCCATATTTTTTTAAATATTATAAACTAAAATTAACCTATAACAGGTTTTGTGAATTGCTGTATTTCAAAATCACCAAACACGATTTTATAACAACTGGTAATACATAAAGAGTGGAGCGGGTCAATGAAAATGAGTTTTCCCCTGAATGTCCTGAAATTCAAACATAAAAGACCTTTTGTTACAAGTCAGTTGGTTTTCTATTTCCCATTTTTTAAAGAACTTTTTATTATGACAAACACATTAGAAAATACAACAGTCATCTACTGTCAGAGACAGCATTTTCTTTACCCAGTATACTTAGGCTCTCGGTCTGAAAAACCTTCTGAAGTGGAGGGAAGTAAATAACAAGTAACTGTCCCATGATGGATCCAAGAACTGCGTAGCAAAACATCTTATTACTGCAGAGTCCGATCTCAAACACAGACTTGGTCTGTTGGCAAAACAGAGAGCTCTAATTATCCCACCACAGTCATAGAAATGGCACCATGACTATACTTCGTTCAATTTTGAATAATCAGTTATCACTGAATTCTATCATACCAACACTACAAAATGTCCTAACTTTTTATTTTGTAAAATCCATATAGACTAAGGATGAATTCTAATCCAACTTTTATTCATCAATAAAGAGTTTGGGGGGCAAAAAGATTATAAGAACCAAAAGTAATGGATATCTGCAGCAAAACAGCATTTGCTGGATATGACAGGGCTGCTGCATACATATCAGGGATTGCACACATGCACTCACAAGCAAATCTGACTGCATGTACAAGATCTAGCCAGGTAAACCTCAGCATGGACAGAAGGGTTCTTGAAGTCCCAACCCTAGCTACTGGCAACTGATGGCTCCTTGGGGAAAGTAAATTTTCTTCAGATATAGCTCCTGAGAAACTAACCATGCTCAAGTAAGATGGTCCTATAGCCATGCATATATGGGCAACCCTAAGCAGACTCAACGAGTATTAAAAAAAAAAAAGCAAATAAAGTGTGTGGGGGGAGAATAAGGAAGGATTTGGAAAAGAGAGAGACTAAGAAGCAGATCTGACCAAAACACATATGAATACATGAAATTCTCAAACATAGCAGGTTATGTTTATGTATCTTTATCTATATGTACACAACAATAATAGCCAATAAAAAGAGGCCAATTTGAAAGGGAGTAGAAGGATATGAAGGACTGGAGGAGGAGTACATAGGAGAGTATAGAGGGAGGAATGGAAAGGGGGAAAATGATCTAATTATATTTTAATTAAAATTAAAGAAAAATAATTGCAGCCTGGGGAGTTCAGATCTCCTGCACCAATGTGAAAAGCCAAGAAAGACAGTATTGGCTATAACCTCAGCCTGCCCTGCCAGGTGGAGACAAGGAGATCTCAGGGGCTCACTGGTCAGCCAGTGTCACTAATCTGTGAGTTCTGGTTTCAATGAAAGACTCAAAAAATTAAAAAAAAATTTTAAAAAGATACACAGTGAGAGCATCATCTCAAAAAAAACAAAAGCAGAAGGAGGGCACTTATTAAGAAGCATCAATTATGAGTCCTTAAAAAGAAAAATAGTACTCATAGTGCTTTAACTAAGAATGGCCCCATAGGCTCATGTACTTGACTCCTTAGTCACCAGAGTGGCACTACTTCAGAAGGATTAGGAGGTGTGGCTTTGCGGGAGAAGTGTGTCACTGGAGGTGGGCTCTCTTCCTCTCTGTTTATAGATTAAGACGAAACTTCAGCGACTTCTCCAGTCCCATGCCTGCCACCATGCTCTCTGTCATGATTAACAATGAACTAATTCTGAAACTGAAGCCAAGCCCCGAACTAAATGTTTCCTAAGAGCTGCCTTGGTCATGGTGTCTCTTCACAGCAACAGAACACTAAGACAGCAAATAATAAATGTTATTCATATTTTGTGAAATCTTTTGTAACCATTCACCTAATTGCATGTGTATAAAAAAGTAAAACACCTTTTATATAACACAAGTACTACTTTCTAAAAAAAAATCGTCTAAATTAGTGACAAATCATTGCACTTGGAAAGTTCTAGTATGATAGATGCTAACAAATATGGTCAAAGACTCGTAAAGGATAAAGGTCTTCAAAGAGTAATAGACTTCTAGAAGCCAAAAAGAAATCAGAGTATATAAAGTACTTTGAAAATGCAGTGAATGCCCATGCAAACAGAACTAGTTTTCAAGGACATTATGTTCGAACAAAGTACCGCAAGTTCTGGTAGTAGCACATTATTTTCTATCAAAATGCAACACAGCTTAATGTACAACCCAGGAAGAAAAAAGAATCTTAAACTTTGACACAATAGAGATTTGGAGGAGGAACATACTGCCCTTCTGACGAGGCTTTCTAAAATGAGACTAACATCATCTTTACAGCCCCATGAGGTTTGTCCTACGTTCAGATGTTGTACTGGCTGATGTACTGGCTGGTATTGTGTGTCAATTTGACATAAGCTCATATCATCAGAGAGGAAGGAGCCTCAATCGAGGAAATGCCTCCATGAGATACAGCTGTAACCTATTTTCTCAATTAGTGATCAATGAGGGAGGGAACAAGCCCATTATAGGTAGTGCCATCCCTGGACGGTTAGTCCTATAAGGAAGCAGGCTAGGCAAGCCATGGAAAGCAAAGCAGTAAACAGCAGCCCCCACTACCTCATGGCCTCTGCATCAGCTCCTGCCTCCAGGATCCTGCCCTGCTTCAGTTCCTGTCCTGATTTCCTTCAGTGATGAACAAAAAAACGTGGAAGTGCAAGATAAATAGGCCCTTTCTTCCCCAACTTGGTTTTTGGTCATGGTGTTTTATAGACACCCTAAAATAGATGTTATCCTAAATCTATCCTATAGCTATAGTGAGGAGTCCAAAGAATCCAGACACTTGTCCATGAAAGGCAGTAGAAATGACCCACCAGAATGCAGGGGTCTGACACAACAGGATATGGCAGGATGTGTTGTGCCCCTGACCGTGTACAGAGCCCCTGTCCTTGCTCTCAATGCTAAAAAGGGACTCAAGAGATATCCCCTATATGGTCAGGAACCAATTAGGAGCTGAGGGCACTTCCTTGGTAAAGATGGAAGTAACCACAGCAACTGCCAAAGAGATAGCAACCTCCCTGCAACTAACCAATTACCAAAGACAGGTGTCTCCAGTTTGGAGGTACACCAATCCTGAGTCTGCTCCTACGCAATATACAGTCCCTAGATCCTCCCCTGCTTTATCCCCAATACAGACCCTACTCCACTGCTACTCTGGGTCTCTTGTCCACCTCTGCGTTGGATAGACGAGAGACCCAGTTTCAAACTCGCTAATATTAAAAGAATCTTTGCCTTTGCAACAGATATGGTCTCTTGGTGGTCTTCCAAAACACTCTGGGATAACATCAGCTCATAATTGAAGAAAAATTGGGTCCCCACTAAGATCAAACATTGCATCCATACTGTGGACCATAGCATATCTTTAAAGAAAGATGTATGGCATTGTAATCTGTGGATACAAAAATCAAAACTAAAATATCATAATCGCTATCTACTTCTTATAAAAGTGTTCTTCTCAAAAAGGTGAATTAGGTGAGACCATAGAAGCATACCTGAGATCTGGAACTTAGTGCATTGAACATGTCAAAAAACACAAAGCAAGTGAAAGTCATTGTTGTGTCTCGTGGTGTTATCACATTGTCTCGAAGCTGCCAAGAAGAAACACAAAATGACTTTTTTTTCCCTTAAATAAATAAAATGAATGAACATTGCATGCTTTTAAAATGAAATGGCTTCAGTATAAACATGACACAAGCTATCTGAATTTTCTACAAACCATCAACTGAATAAATATAGTCTATATGAAAATTTTTTAAAATCTCATGATAGGTGTCAGGAATTAAGATACCAGTACTATTTTAACACAACTATGCACGGACTTTGTTTTCTGATTCTCCCAAACCTCCATGAACATGACACTTTACACTTAACAACTTAAGGATACATTCCCTTAACCTGTATTTTTCCACTCAGAAGACTCTTCACTTGCCAACTATTCTGTACAAGACATCAAAATAACTATGAATCCTAATACACAGATACATGATAACTCAGCAGTTTATCCAGTGAATATACCTCTCGCCAGAAGACAAACAAAGTCCCACAAACAATGATTATTGATGAAACAAGTATTTTAAGTATCAAATTTTTTGTCAAAATGCTGTCCTTCCAGTTTCGAGGAGGTTTGCGAATGACATCTTTATCCACTGGCTCTACTCCAAGGCTTAAAAACAAGAAGAACAAAGTACTTTGAAATGTTTACATTTACTTTCACAATCAAACTAGCTTCAATTATATAGGAAACTAAATGCTTTCTTTTGAAAACAAAATGTAGAATCATAAAGAAAACATTATACATGATTACTTGAAAACTATCACTGCTGGACATGATGGTCTATGTCTGTGGTACTAACTACTAGCAGAAAGAAGGAAAAAGCGAAATGAGGGCAAGGAAGACTACTGATTTTGTCATTTTCTAAACTCTTACAACGCTTATGCTTTTGGCAAGGTGTGGCAGACAACTAATTGATAGCCAACTTTAAAAAAAACACAGTTTTATTTACATATAAATTGATTTTTCATATCCATAACATACCAAGGAAACAATATTAGTTCATGCAAGGATATCTCTGATTAGGAGGATTTATTGAGATAACTATGATAGGTATCATTCAATTACCATACTAATAAAACTAAAAAACACTGAAATCTTTAAACAAGTATTTCAGCAAGGCTCTTAAACAGAATTCAGATACACAGCTCAGAGATGGTGTTGATGCAGTATTATGAAAGCATCTCTTACATACTAAGAGCCTGGGACTTTTACTAACTTTTACCTCAGCAGAGTTAATAATACACCTCGAGGTAGGTCTTTTAACAACTGTTATCCTACTATGAACTCAGCATGTATAACCTGTGTTTAAGAGAATACTAACAAAACCAATCTTGCCTTGCACTTCCCATGTAATCAACTTTTACAGTCTGAGCTAATACATAGCTGTAATTTTAAGTTACATACTTTTCCATACCCCTGACACAGAGTAGCACATATATGTTTTCATGTATGCTATAATCATTTGCTGAAAATAGCAAATAGGCTGAAAGTGACCTTATAAAATGGATATCCTTAAGTGATGGGCACAGCATTAGGATATTGCTTGATGATGTTTGTTTATTGTCTGGGTCAATTGGAGTCAGTGACTTAATTCTGTGTAAAAGTCTAGTTAAAATTGCAATGCTTCCTGTGCTGTTCAATAAAAGAGCCCTTTATTAGTGACAGATACAACAGACAGACACAGATACACAGCCTTCGGGTAGGCATAGATTCTCAGATTCATACATCAGTCATAAAACAGAAAACACAGGGAACGTGAAGCAGAGAATTTTAATACTGACTTGCTCTTGGTTAAATAACAATTAAATGAGCAGGGGCAGGGGTATCTTTAACTCCTTCCCTTAGTGCAACACCAGTGCATTAGAAGTGACCAAGCTTATTGTTAATGTGTTCAAACTGACTACGCGAAGTTTTCCCATTATATACAGTTCTTACAACTCAGCTTATGTCCTGAGGACAAGAAAGAATTGCAATTTTTTCCCTGTTCTTACCCAAATGCTGGTACCTCACACAGTGTAAACAATCAGATCTATGCTGAATGAATGGACAATCAAAGAGAATGAATAATATGCAACACATGACAATTCATAAGAAGCATTATAGCAATACTCGATACTCTATAGGGAAAACAATATATTTATTTACCAGAGAGAGAGAGAGTCGCACAAGCTGGGAGTCAGAAGCGTGGCTGGCTTCCAGCAGAAAAAAGGGGAAGCCCCTTTTCCTTTCACTTCCTTTTATCTCTACCTTGACCCCGCCCTGTTGGGCGGGTAGCTTTGTGGCATTGACTCCTACAAAGCATGGTGATGAAAAATTGTACATGACAAAGGTTTGATAGGTCTTATTCACACCTGCCTTCTCTTTTCAGCTCATCCATGAAGAAACACTTACCTCTGAGCTGGGGGTCCATCCATAATAATATTGATCCACAAAATCTGCATTGCATTGAGAGGGTTAGGAAAGTTCATTAACGTAGCCAATGAGATTAAAGTTAATGCTGCTATACTCCTGTTGAAAAAGAGTCATTTAAACATTAGCACAATAAATTTTATACATTTTACTAGCAAGTAAGCCTCATGTTACTGGGACTGGGGAACCAGCTCAGTTGGTGAAATACTTTCTGAGTAATGAGCATGAGTTTAGATCTTCAGAAACAAAGTGAAAAGTTAGGGACAATGGTGTACACCTGTAATCCCAGTACTGAGGACACAGAGACAGGAAGGTCCCAGAAGCTTGCTGGGTAGCCAGTCTGACTAATCAGTGAGCCTGGGGTTCAGTGAAGACATGTTAACAAAAATTAAGGTAGGAGATGACTTAAGAAAAACATGCAATGTCAACATCAGGGCTCCACATACAAGCACATACACGTACACACAGATATGGGACATCCATGAACACATTCACTATATAAAAGAGAAAAAAAATCATGTTCTACACATTTTAAAATAATCCTGTTAATTCAACTGCCCTATGCTTCACTCATATAAATATTTTGTTAAGAAGCTAAGAAGTGTTTTTTGAATGGGAATCTGATTCTGCAGCCCAGGTCTTGCTCTATAGATTGGGCTGGCTCAAACAACAATCTACTCCATCTGCCAGGTGCTAGAATCAAAAGTGAGAGCCACCTGTCAGGCAAGGTAAGAGTATTTTAACAAAGGTTTGTTTGTTTGTTTTGTTTTGTTTTAAATGCTTAGCTAACAAAATACAAAGATCTCCTAACCCTGGTAGAGGCTCTCCTTAAATACAGACCAGCTCTGTGGTATTTTCCTGCCTCGGCCTTCTAGAATGCTGGGATTACAGCATTATGTACCACTAAGCCCAGATGAAAGGAAGAGTTTATAAACCTACAAAAAAAAAAAGCTTCAGAAATATTTAACAACTTTTTAACTAGAAAAAAACCTATCCTATTTTTAGAAAAAGATAACCAAAAAACATTACTGAAATTTACATGTCCCCCTTTAGATTTCCAAAGCAATCAAACAAATCCCAAAGGTTTATGCTAGCATCTTTCAGTGTTTGTGGGAACTGGATGCGGGATTCCCTTCAAATGCCAAGATCCCACTAACTTATATAAAAATGGCATCATATTGTTTCTCAACCTTTTGGCTAAATGGCAAATTATGTACCTATTATTTATATATTCCTATGGTTAATAATATCTAGTGTGACCTAAACAGTATGTTCATAGCTATTAATGCATTTTTTAAGAAAACCACTTATAAGTAATCTTCAAGAATATAGACAGAAGTTTTACTGCTCAATTAATTTATAAGACTCATGGGCAAAAGTTCTTGCAAACTTACGTGCTCAGTTGAAATCTAACAAAATTTTTAATATTATTATAAATGCCTTTACCCTCCTCAATTGCAGACCTGAAATTTAAAAATAAAGAAGTAAGAAACTATCATATAAAATATGCTTATATTAAAACATTTTGAAACAAAGTTTACAACTAAATGACAATTAGCACTTTCAAAAAAATATATTGTTAGAAACATTGGGAAGAATGGAAATTTTTCTTTTCTTTTCTTTCCTTTTGGTTTTCCAAGCTAGAGCATCAATGTAGAGCCCTGGCTGTCCTAGAACTCAGATCATTCAACGGGTAACGGAAAGTGAGAGTCATATGACTTCTACCACTGGCATTACACTGGAATTTCAATCAACTGAAAACATGGACTACCAAAGGTATTCAGAGCTAAGACTCTATCATAAAATGAGGGCAACAAGAACGCTAATATAAGAAAATATTCATGAGTGTGACTTTTAATGCTGCATACATGTCTCCCATCAGCTCGATTTAACTAAAACAGACTCTGGAAAAAGGGTCACTGTTTGCCATCATTCTATGAACAGAAAACATGACATGTAACTGGCATTCAATAAATATTTCTTAAACGAACAGACTTGTCATTTACTATGTTTGTTCCATTCACATAAATAATTTTCTCTTGAGTTACATAAAACAACATTATCCAAAAACTATGTTTTAATATGCCCAATCCTGCTAATTCTTTTCAAGCTCAATTATCTGAAGGTGAGATGCATGAAGGAAAGGAAAACAAATGTCTTACATTATGGTTTGAAAATCATCATCCACCAAGATCATATCTGCAGCCTCTTTGCAAACATCAGTGCCAGTCTGGCCCATTGCAACTCCAATGTCTGCAGCCTTCAGAGCAACTGCATCATTTACTCCATCTCCTGTCATGGCTACAACTGACCCATTCTTCTGTAGAGACTAAAGAGGGGCATCAAAATAGAACAGAGAGAACTGTTCTGATTTTTATAAATCAAATAATGGGATAACTAATTATTACTAACCATTTTCCACATAATTAAGACTACAAAAAATATATAACCTCACTTTTCAGTCAACTCCAATACATGAAAGTCTTTATAAAATAAAGTTCCAAAATATTGTTACTACCATTCTCATCCAAGAGAACAGTTGATTTGAAATGTGACAGTCAACTAACTATACAATGGTTTGTAACTAGGGGTATTTTGTTTTCCAGAGAACATCTAACAATGTTGGGTGGCATTTTGACTGTCTTGAGTTGTAGGATGGCACTGGCACTGGCATCTACTATGTAGGGGTTAAGTATAATACTAAACATTCTTAAATACTCAGGAGAGCCCTATCATTTCCAGCTACAAATAACACACCATAAAATGTCAACAACCTCAAAACTCAGAAGCTCTCAACTATACAATGTCTGGCTACTATATGTAATAATGAAATCTGCTATCAACTGTTGGATACAATTTCAGTTGATTTACATACCAAATAGTACCTAAAAATATTCCAGTCAATAATGCATCATGATATATGACACCAGGTAGAGCTGAATACTACTAATGTCTGTTGACATGCAAGTGGTATTGGTGAGCAACACACTGCTCACTTATTTTTGGTGCATGCTATCTAATGAAAACAGCTTTGTTAATGAACTCATGGAAATAATAAGCCTTCTTGATACTGTTCACACTCATAAAACACCTTTCTTACATTCACACCGTGTCTCTCACTCTTCACGTTGGGATGATTTAGCTATGGAAGTGTCAGAATACACTTCCACACTCTCTAAAGAAGCTGTACTGGAAAATACTTTATAGGTTTCTTCTATGTCTTTCTATGCCAACTAAACTCTTCTGTTTCTCTGTCAAGCTCTTACAGATTATACCTGTTTTGTCTCATGATACTTAAAACTTTGCTATTCTATCAATACTTTTTGTAACGAAAAGACAAAGTAGCAAACATTTTGTAAAGAAAATTTAAGATAATTTGGTTTTCAGACACCTACCTTAATAATTTTCATCTTGTGTCTTGGGCTTGCTCTATAAAATACTGCAACCTGTTAAAACACAGATACACTAAAAATCTCCAATATTAACAAGTAGCAGTGTTTCCAAGTAATGACATTTTTAACAACTTAGTTTGGCACAAAGGTTGAAATTAGTCAATGACATATACCCACTTTATGCAGGGATTCAACCTTTACCAAAGAAAAGGGTATATATTCACCATAGGAAACACATAACCTAAACAAGTCATAACCTAATTTATACAATTAGGTTAAAGCTATGAAGAGAAACAGCTTTATTTTTGGAGTATTTCAGAAATGAAAAAGGAAGAATTTTTTTCTTTATTTGTATCTTCAAGATACTAGTGTACCATATGAACAGCTTTTCTCTTTGGTAAGTCCCAGAGAAGAACAGCTGCTTCCAAATGTCTGAGGAACCATTTCTACAGTGCCATGTAGGTGTTCATTCTTGATTTGGAATAATTCACAAGCCTCTCTTCAACTGTAATTCAAAGCTGCTTAATGGTCAAATTTCTCCAACCACAACTAATTTCTTCATAATTCATCTGTGTAATCCTCTCACTATGCCCATGCCAGCCAGAATAGTGTATCTTGTATCTTTAACTTTCACCTTATTTTAGCCTAAGTTTTCTAGAAAATACCACCAGACCTTATAGCTCTTTTCACAGTTCCAGTGGGGAAGTGAAGAAGAGGAGATGCATGGCATGACCCCATCCTCCTTCATAAACCACAATTATAAATGTCACATGATTCCATACTTCTCACTAATAGTAAGCATTCATGTTCCAAATCTTCCAAACTCTCATTTCATAAACATCTCAATTTAAGCATCACGGTCAATCTTCCCAGTATGTAAAAGTCATAGTGTTTCTTTCTTTTCTTTTTTTTTTTTTTTTAAGTTTTCACGAGACAGGGTTTCTCTGTATTGTTTTGGAGGCTGTCGGTCCAGCCCAGCCTCAAACTCACAGAGATCCGCCTGCCTCTGCCTCCCGAGTGCTGGGATTAAAGGCAAGCGCCACCACCGCCCGGCTCATAGTGTTTCTTATATCCACACAACACATTATTTTCTTCTCTACACTCCTGGAGGATTACCTCATGTTCGATTTCTCTCCTGACTTCTCCAGTCTGACCCCTCCTCCACTCTTGCTCTCAGTTGACAACCTTATTTCCTACTTCAAAGAAAATACTTCAAACCCTGCCACCTACTACATATCCAGAACCAACCCTCCTAGTATTTTACTATACATGGACTAATAATCCCATCTCACCTACTTGAGATCACCACCCCAGAAATTCTTAAAATTCTTCCCTCTCATTTTCCCCTGACATTTAAGTAAGAGTGAGGACTCATATTCCATGCCCTTCCAGCTCAGTTTCCTTCTCCTTCCCCTTTTTCTCCCCCTCCTATATTAGTCTCATGGTTGTCATGCTATCTTAAAGTTTCAATCTTATCTTGGTGCATTAGAGCACTCATCCCTCTTGTTATGATTTTATTAACTTTGAAACGTAAGATCCACGAAAACAAAGGTTTTTGTCCCACATCTTCAGTGCTTTCGAAGTATTTGCTAAATGAATAAACAACAGAATGAATCTTGGTATTATCATACAAAAAGCTCCAGGTTCCTATTTTTAAAATCTTAAAACAAGAGGACATTATTTCCTTAGAGAAATGATTCAACTAGTTTCGCCAGCCCATTCTTTACCCATTTGCTCATCACTCTTCCCTCTGTCACTGGGTTCCAGGAGTTCAGTTCAGTGTTTAGCTGTGGATTACTGATTATGCCCCATGTCCTGTGGGCCCAGGAATCACATGATGCATATTTGGAGACAAAGCATAGATAGGTTCCTCCATCTTGTATTCTTGCTAAGGTCATTTTAGGTTTAACTAGAATTTGATCCATTGATGGAGACTCCCATGGAAAAGTATCCAACTCTATTCTAGTATTCTAAGGTCAAGATGCCCCAGCTAACTTAGCTTGTTAAACTGCCTGCTTATGCAAGCCCTTCTCCAGCTAACTGCTTATCTTCACTTCTGTTAAACTGCTTGCATGCACAAAAGCTACTCCAGCAGCTGCCAAGCAAGATACCAGGATGTGGTTTTTGCCTTAAAACCCCCAACCCTAAACACTTGGCACTATACTTAGGTCACAAATCCTTGAGTAAAGTCTTCCAAATGGCTATAAACAGTGTCTGAGAAATCACTACTAGTGGGCTCCCTGTAACACTTAAATGTTCAAAGAAAACTAAGCCACATATATACTCAAAACATACTTGTACCCACCTATGTAAAAAATTCTAATTATTCCTAAATTAATCAGGAAGCATATGTTGCACTGAAATGCAATGTTAAATGTTTCAGAAAAGCTATAGAATAGACACTATATTTCAATAAAGACTGGTGATGAGTACTAATGTACTATGCTGTGCCTTAGTTCCACATAATCACTTTCAAACTTGGTAAGACACCTCTCTATAATTATTCTGGGTTACCAAAAAAGAAAAGCCACCAACTCTTTGATGGAAGATGCACTCCTTTATATATATTAGCACATTTATTAATGTGCAATATATCTATTACTTATTATAAGAATTTAATACTTCAAAGCTTCTTATTGTATCTCAAAAATAGAAGCAGCCATTTTCAGACCAAGCAAATCAATCTCACAAACCAAACTGGCAATGATTACTTGGTCTTTTACATGTGGTACATATCTCCACACAGAGTCAAACTTGTTCTTAAAGCACCAGAGTGAGTTAATCTTGCTGAGTAACAACACTGAAATTTAGTGGTTGTAAAATTAAGGTATAGAGAAATTGCACCCTACACGAACAAATTACTAGAACGTGAAGTGTATCACTATCTCACAACTTAAACCAAACTTGGAGATAATCAAATTCATTGCATAAATAATCTTTTGATTTTATTACTTGTTTCTCAGTCTAGCAAAAGGAGTAGCAGTGAACAACACACAACCACTACAGATTGGAAGGAGAACGTGAGGAGACAGGAGGACAGGATAGTGGGAAGCTACATTATAAATGAAAAGAATACAGGGAAATACTGGGGATGACAAAAACAAAGAAAACTCCACAAAAGGCCTCCACATTTTCAGGACTTTGCAAGGGCATTTCACTCTTCTTAGCATAGCTCTAGGTACTGGATTTGTGGTCAACATTCATGGTACTTTAGACAGACATAAACTGACAAGGTGTGATGGAGATAGGAAGTTAGGGAGAAAATAGAAAATCATTAAAGCAGAGGTTAATGAAGAGATTAGGGAGATCAGAATAACCTCCCAAAGTCCTCAAATCTTCTAGGAAATTTCCTTCTGATATAACAGATAAACTGTAGGTGGTTAAATAAAAATATGTGACCTAGAGAAAATGAAACAATACACGAACCAGGATTGTGAGGATTTGTTAACAGACTGAGTAAACAAACAGAAGTACAAATAATAAAACAGAAAACAAAGATGAACAAGGATACTCAGTTCTATATATTCTAAGATAAATCACAAATGGAAAATGCTAAGAATTCTCAGGTCTACTTCTCAAAGCAGGCACAACTCTGAGCTTCCATATTGTTTTCTGTGGAGATATAGTATTTATGATTTATAAAAGCTTGACTGAGGATTCAGAAAGCAAAGTCAGCCACAAGCTATAGAAGTCATACATACACCTTTAATCCCAGCAGCCAGAAGCTAGGAGGTGGTGGTACACACCTTTAATCCTAGGACTCAGGATTAAGAGGTAGACAGATCTCTCTGAGTTCAAGGCCACCCAGATGGACACAAGAATGAATCAGTCTAAAAGAGAATGATAGCTCATATCTTTAATATCAACAATAGGGAAACATATAAGACAGAAGCAAGGTCTCAGAGAGGCATTCATTCTCCAGCCACACTGAGGAAAGTTTACAGTCTGAGGCTTGGTGAGAGCTCATGGAGACAGAACCAGCCAATTCAGCCTGAGGTAGAGGTAAGATGCTAGTGGGCAGCTGCTTTGCTTTTCTGATATTCAGCTTGAAGCCTGAACCCCAATATCAGTCTCTGGGTCATTTATTTTTCATGTTACAGCTTTCTAATTGGTTCTAGGTAAAGAAATAATTCCACACATAGATGCTGAAATATTTGGAATGTATTTCACAGAATTATGAGAATGAAATACAGAAATGGCAAACAATTATATGATGTTAAGATGTGGGAAAACTAGTAGGCTAGTAATTTAGAACACCTTTATCTGTACACTAAGAAAACAGCTCTGTAAATCAATCAGAAACAAAAACAGATGAAACAAAACCTGCCAGTTGCCAGAGGTTTACATGAACACAAGATAAACGGTGGGTACAAAGTAGGAAGAAAAACAGTCCAGCTCATTAAAAAATTCATTAGTGTTTGGAGAACAGATTCACTTAAAAACACATTAAGAGCCTATAAGAAAGCCATAGTATTACACAATTCCTCTTTTAAGTTGGATAGATTTAACCAATTCAATAAACTGACTTCAAAGGTTAGGTTTTATTTTATTTAAGTCTCTTTAGAATAGTGCCAGTGTATCTGCTACAATTAACACACTGTTTATTTGGAAAGGAGAGATGATGCCATCTGTCCAGGCTAAAGAAGGAATTGCTTCTTCCTTCTCTAAATACCTTTTAGGCTTGCTTCCAGAATATATTAACATTTTGTCAAAGAAATAGACGGGAGACTAGAAAAGGCAAATGCAAGGCTGGCATCTCAAAAAAAAAAAAAAAAAAAAAAGGCTGAACAAAGCTCTAGTGGGAAATATTTAATTAACTTTAGATTTTATAATCACTTAGTAATGTACACTCTAGCTCATGCCCCTGAGAGGCCAATATAGGATTTATTCTTTCATAAAAAGCCTGTAAAGTAACATACATACATAAGTTCCTACCCAAGTATGCAAACACTTTCCCCCTTAATCTCAAACAAAGAAAATGTTTATGCTGCCCTGGATGATCTGACAATAACATTGGAATGATTGAAGTTTGATTAAACTCCAATTCTGGCTGAAGAAAACAGTGCAGTTTTGCTAGCAACTACATCCCCAATCAGTTTACTAGAAGATAAAGAAAGTTCAGCTGAAAGTCTAGGGACTCAATACCATTGCATATAGTGCAGACTAAAAATATAAACTGAAATCTATAGATTTCACAAGACAGTTCAGTAGTAAGTTTTAAGAGGTCTCTCAATGCACTGAACCTTGTTCAAATCATTTCAGATGCAGGAATTTGGTCTACAAAAATAATTATATCTGGATGCTGCATGTACAGTAATGTTCAGAACTACAAATAACAGATGGTGAACTTTATGAGTAACAGACATGGGCTCCAGTACCAATGCCATCCCACTCTCCCTGGTTCTAAGACATCAGTCAAACTTTATAATTGTCCAAAATGGAAGTAACAAAGACACCTTTCAAAATGAATGTCACCATCATATACTCAAAGTATCATATGCAAGGTGTGTGGTGCACATCTTAAATCCTAACACTCAGGAGGTAGAGGCAGGAAAATCTCTGCGCGTTTGAGGCCAGCCTGGTCTACAGAACTAGTTCCAGGACTACCTGGGCTGTTATACAGAGAAACCTTGTCTCTAAAATCAAGCAAACAAAAACTCATAGTAAGCAAACTCCCAATCCAGGGCTTGGTGAAATAACAAATTATATAGCTTAGTCTAAAAAGGCTACTTATGAAATAGTCAACACCATTACATTTTTAAAATATAAAGAACAAGTAACTGAACTATCAAGGATTTCTTAAAGCAACAGGACAGTTCTACATCAAACTGAAAGTGGGCAAAGTAAATATCCACCTGTTAGAGAGAGTTGGTCATGGGGGAACAGGAAGTTGAGGGGGAAAGTGGGAATCATAGGTTCGAAGACAGATCAGGCACCAGAGTGACCTCGAGTGATCTAAAGGGATAACACCAATTGGCAAGCTAAGCAATAGTGGAGGGACCACCTCGAATGCCCATCCCTGATAATGAACTTGATGTCTATAACCATCCGGGAGCCTTCATCCTGTGACTGATGGAAGCAGAGGCAAACACACAATTAATCACTGAACTGAACCCAAGGAACCCAGTGACAGAGAGAGAGGAGTGATAAGCAAATTGGCAAAGAATGGGCTGGCAAAACCAGCAGAGACAGCTGAACTGAACAGGGGAGAGCTCTTGGACCCCAGACCGACAGTGGGGAGGCCAGCATGGGACTGATCTGGACCCCCCAAATGTGAGTGTCAGTGAGAAGGCCTGGGCAACCTATGGGGCCCTGAGCTGTGGATCAGTGTCTATCCCTGGTATACAAACTGTCTTCGTGTGCCTATATCACAAAGAGAGATGCTCTCTCAGCCTGGACTCTAGGGGAGTGCCTGGACCCTACCAAGAGTAAAATGACAGACTCTAGATATCCCCTATGGGGAAGGATTTGGCAATAGGGTGGGAGGGAGGGGGCAAAGGGGAGTGCGGGAGGAGGGGAGGGAGAGGGAACTGGGAATGACATGTAAAACAAGCTATTTAAAATTAAAATAAAAAATAAAAAATAAAAAAAACCCTAGAAATAGCAAAGATAGGCTAGGTATTATTTCCTAAGTTATTGTTAAAAATAAAAACTTGGGCTAACAAAAGTCTAATTGATGAAAAAATTTTAAATAATCCATCCTCTACAAGGTGACTATAGAGTAAATAAGACATGTGCAATATATGTACTCCTGGTTGCTACTGTTATCATTAAAATGTTATTCACAGCAAAAATATATAAACTAAAATGGTACTAAGAAAATGGCTATATACCAGGTGTTCATAGACTCCTGCACAGTAGGCAGCCACACAAAATACAGTATAGCCATTAAAGGCCTATTTTCTAGTACTAAACTCATGGCTTGTGAAATGCTGAGATTATATAAAATGAATTATTAAGCTGGTGAAATATAAAGTCCAATTTATGTTTTTGTTAAATGTGTATTTTTAAAGTCATAGTGGGTTAACTTATTGTGCTAATACTCTGTGGGCACACAACTTCTGAGTGTTTGGATTACATTACTACCATTTTTGAATTGTACCTTACTGTTTAATTCTTCTACAATAAGTATTTGCTATTATTGAAATGTTTTTCTAATCAGAAAAAAACATAAAAATATTATGAAAAGTCATAAGTTAAGATGTTGAGACAATTTAAGGAAATTCCATATTCTGAAAAGGCAGCTTTTAAATATAAACTGAGATAAAGAATGTGGTACATTTTATTATTACTGGCAACAGATGGCTAAAACTGCTAACCAAATAAATGCCAGGTAAATACTTATTTTGAAGGTCATATAAATACATACATACAAACATTAACAGCATGAAATAAATAACACTGTCCAACTCTTACGAGGACACCTTCCTACATGCCTTATATATGTGACAACAAGATTCTATAAAGCCTCCATGAAGTAGACTCAGATAATAAAACTGATTTTATATAAGAGAAAATAGAAATTATTATGTTATACAAACAGAAATGTCATTTTTTCTTATAATTTGCTACAAAAAGCATTAGAATCAAAGATTAAAAAGCATTCCAATGCCAAACAATCAGCCCTTTTCAACAGATGGTGCTGGAACAAATGAATACCATGCATGACAAAACCAGTTGTGACCACAACAATATATATAAATTTTAAAACTCAAAATGATTACTGGCCAAAATGAAATAACCCCAAACTATAAAACTTCTAAAAAAATCTTCTGTAATCCAAGCTTAGACTGATCTCTTAAATAAGAAATCATGATCATACACATGATTCATGAAAGTAAAGGTTGATAAGCCAGACTTCATCAAATTAAATACTTCTCTGTAGCCACACCAGAAAGAAAAAGAAAAAAAAAAGGCTAAAAAAGGGCCACAATGTGTAAAAAGAAAAGAATCTCAGAATTAAATAATAACCTGATTTTCTAAAAAAAATATTCAGACTATGTAAACAAAGACCACAATATGGCAAACCAGTACACGGGATAAAAAAAGAAACTTAACACTGGAAATTTTTGAGAGAAGTGCAGATGAAAAATCACAATAGCCTTCTTATATACCAAGAGAAGGCAGAGAAGGAAATGACCACTCAACAGTATCACTAAAGACAACACAACATCCCACACTGCTAAAGGAAGCTTCAAATGGCAATGCCATCTTGTCATCCAACCTGGAATGAAGTTCTTATGAAACCATATGACTCAGAAATTATCCAAGTATTTACCCATAACTTTTACCAAGAAACTAATACAGCTTTATTCACTGACAACAAACACTGAAAGGACCCAACTGTCCTTGAACTAGAGACACAAAGTCCTCCCATACAGTCTAACACTGCTCAACAACTTAAGGGGGAACAAAATAAAAAGGGTATTAAGACACACTCAGCAACACATCGAACCGACTTCTCCAATGCGTTATGTGTCAAAGAATCAAAAATCAGATTCAAAAGCTTCATACTACATGATCTTATTCAATAAAAGAGGGCACTATAGGAACAGAAAATGAATCACAGCTGCCAAGCTCTATACCTAGAGGACGAGCTGAATACAAGAAATCATGAAAGAATTCAGGGGTAGGAAGAAATTGTTCTGCATCCTAATTGTGTCAAGGTTTGTAAGACATCATGAATCTGTCCAAACTCCCAACTATAAACCAGAACAGGTATGTTTTGCTGTCTAAAAACAACACCTCAATTTTGTTATTAAAAAAAAAGTACAAACTCAAGCTAAAATAAAAACAAAACTAAAGTGTAAGTAATATCAACTAACTGTTCTCTATCTTCTAATTTACACATACAAGTCCTAGATTACTATAGTAATTTCCTCATAGGAAATAAGAGTTTTATCAGTTAATGATCTTACAACGTTTTCATAACGACTTCACCATAAGTAATAATGTGATTTACTTCAAGGAAATTGCACTTCAGAATTTAGACTAGCAAATTTGGTAGACATGTCTCATTTGTAAGAGAGAAGTTTCCCTGAGACAGAAGCAATGACTGATGTTTACAATAAGGCCTCTCAAGTATTTATTTGTAGGCTTACCTTTGGTACTATTTGTGAAAGCTGCTGGACTTCCATAGTATCTACTTCTTCTCCAGACACTGACTGGGAAGTTTTAGAATACAATCCCAGACGACTGGCTAAAGTAAAACAAGACAGAAAAATACGATTAAATTGCTTTGCCTAAAGAGATAGTTGAAACTATGCTCATTTAACATGATTTTTTCATTTATTCCTTTTTAAAGATAAAAAGTGCATCAAGGAATCATAAAACAACTGGTAAGACAAACTATCTGAAATTCATAGAGAGTATGAAATTTTCTGCTTGAATATTTTGTTTTTATTTATATTTAAGAACAAAGAATTGTCCCTAAGTCAGAAAACCCTAAAAAATAAAACTACACTAGTCGATTTCTGCTCAGCAGCTCAATTCTAATGACAATCAGAATGCACTATAAGCAACGTAACTGAAGCCAGAAAAATTGGTGACAGATTTAGTTTCATGCAGTCATGTAGTTGCATACAAATGAAAATATGTGTTGAAAAGCCATTCTCCCATTTCAGTAACAATATTTGAAAATTTTAGTCCAGACCTATCACATATTAATAAAATCAGAGTTCACAGACTTGGCAAATGTGTTGAGTTTATACTTCCTGTGATCCAAGAACAAGAAACAGGCTTCTCTCTGCTAAGGCATTTCTGAAGGTTATGACCACTAACTTCCAAACCATATATCCCTCATGAGGAAAAAGAAGTATACAAAAGGTATCCTCTTAGCATTTATTTTCAAGTGTGCTATGAAGTCATACTTAAAAAGGAAAACTTCAATTCATCATTCCTTTCACATCCCTAGTGTTTTATACCTGTCAGTAAGCGAATTAGAAAGCTAAAAAAGTCAACTACCCTTTTGTGAATGAATACACACAATTTCATAATGAGTTGTCACGTGCTTTCAATATTTTTTTAAACTAAAATCCTGTTTGCCTATGACCTTCATAAGTTGGAGCAAAAACAAAAGAAATAATAGTGGCATTATATAATTACAATAGTATATAAACATTTTTCGTAGCTAATGTTCATAAAACAATGCACTGCAGTATTTTAATCAATCTATTAAAACCAAAATGCAGCAGCTCGGTTATACCTATTGCAATTGCAGTCTCCTGTGAATCTCCAGTAATCATTTTGATGGAAACTCCTGAGGCAATAAGTGTTGTAACAGCTTCTTTCACACCAGTTCTAGGAGGATCAATGATTCCTACCAGGCCAAGGAAGGTCAGCTGTCCCAATTCCGGACCAGAAGCCAAGGCAAGAACTTAGGAAATAGTAAAATACAAAACCATAAAGTATTGGTTGTGAAAGCATTAAACTTAGCTGATAATAAATCACATATGGCTATAATGTCACTTGTAGTTACTGCATATTATTTACAATTCCAATTTACCGCATACCAACACATTATGCTCCAATGGTTTGGATACAGGATTGCTTTTAAGCTAATAAAATTTAATTGAAAGGAATAAAACCAAAGAACTATTAAGTAGAGAAGACAAATGAGAAAGAATTAAGAACATTCCTTCATAATAACCACATGCAGCTACCGTTTAAAAAAACTACAACCTCTTTAGACAATACAATTCATTATTTAGGGAAAAATATGGGTTATCAAGCATTAAAAGTCAAATTTAAGCAAACCGACCCCATTTCTAATATGTCTTCCTCTGAGAAGACTATATTAATTATACACAGCCTGTGTACATACAATTTCATACATTATAAACACTGGAGAGAAAATTCCATCTATGAAGTGCTGTTAAGGCCATTAACACCAACAACAAAGTCTTTTTTCACTGCCTCCAAACATTAACAAGCATTTCTTGCTCATAATTTAGGTCTCTCAGAACTCTTAATTATCCTACCATTATGTTTAGTTTTCTCTCAATATTGAGCAACAAGATATAACAAAAAGTCATGCTAATTTCCCAAATACCACTCAGCCTACTTTCAGAATTCTGGAACTTCTGGCCACTACCATTATAAACATACCCGCCATCAGGGAAATTATTAGACTAGCTACTTACTAACAAGTGCCCACAAAAGCACACTAAACCTCTGTGTCTCAAAGGAAGTCTACGAAGTCCCAAAAGAGACCAAAGAAGTACTTATTCTTACTCAAGCAGAAAATATGGAGGATTGAAAAAAATCGAGGGTGAAGGCAAACCACCTCTGTTTAAGTGTAGATATATCCCACAAAGTTTTTCCCTCTGAAGGGAAAGAGATACCTGTCAATCTCTGGTGCTAGGATAGGGCGGGTGGCAATAAAAGGAAATGATGATTATCAATTTGCATGCTAGTAAATCCTGAGTAAGGGAGATCCTTTCTGCACACTCACAATGGAAGAGTGAAACTCGTACAGAGTCTGTTGTTACCCTGCATTCATGCACTCTTTAGCACTAGAGACCTACTTAAAATATTCTTTAGATCAAGAGTAGATAAGCAGTGTTTATTGTGGTTTGAATATGATATTTCCCATACCCTCGTGTGTTGGAGCACTTGGTTCCCAGATGGTAATGCTGTGGAACCTTCAGGATATGGGACCTACCTGGAGGAAGCAGGTCACTTCAGCACAGAACTTAGGCTTTATAGCTCACCATCCTCCCCTCTCTACTGCCCTGAGATATAAAGTAGCAACACTGCTACCTTAAGCCACGCCTACCACCATGCAGTCACCACCATGATGGACAGTAACTTTCTACTATGCATCAAAATACATTCTTTCTGGCTTAAGTTTCTTGTCAGGTAACTAGTCATAATCATCAAAGGGGACAAAAAAAGAACTAAAACATGTTATTATTTCATAGTTTATGACCACAAGCATTTTTAAGAAACTGACTTTGTAAAATACAGTATAATCATACAAATATCAATTAATATTTTAATGTATATGCATTAATATTTAATATTTTATTCTTCGATTATAGTAACAAAAAGAAAAGGGAAGATGAAAAAAATGCCTAAGAGACAAAGCTCACAGTTTTTCCTAAAATTCTATAAAACAAATGTTTTCCTCTGATACTACAGGTCTACATTGTGAAATGCAGCACAAACCATACACAAAAACCTCAACAATTCTTCAGCAAAATGTCCCAACAGATAAAGGCGCTTGCTATCAAGCCTGCCACCCTGAATTTCACTCCTGGAACTCACAAAGTAAAAGTAGAAAGCTGACTCTCATTTCATGGGTTATCCACTGTACCACCCCCCACAAACACAATAAATATATCCAAAAGAAATCTGCAGAAGATAAACTTCTTGAAAGTAAAATCTCTCTCCTAAACAGAGGACACTGCATATCTATAGAAATCCAAGAGTTCATATTTTGCTGTAGTCTTGATTTTCCATCACTTGAGGGCCAGTTCCCCAATAATTATAAAAATGTAACACCTCAGAAATTTCATTGGGTCTGACCCCTGGAGTAGAACTGGACAGCTCAGAAGTGAAGTGGGGATTCAAGTGCAATTAAAGGCAGACTTTTTTTCCCAGATCAGTGACTATGCTGAAACAGCCTTACCTCTGAGTCCTGCTGAGCCCATCCTTGCCTTCTCTTGTTGATAAAGATCTCTCTGCTGCTGAGTAAGTGCCAAAGTCTGACCTTTGTTGTTGTATGTAGTACAATACTTAATCACCTGTTCATAAGCACCCTTCATAAAACAAATCTCTGGTCTATCCTAAAAAGAAAAATATACCAAGTTTACATTCAAATTGTATATATATACTACACACAGTTATTCAAACCTAATGCTTTGAGTGGCATTTAAACTCTGAAGATTATTAATACATGTGGTAGCTTTCTGTATAGTCTATGAAGGAAGGAAAGAAGGAGGGGAGGGGAGGGGAGGGGAGGGAGGGGAAGGGAGGGAGGGGAGGGGAGGGGAGGGGAGGGGAGAGAGATGAAAGAGATCTAGTTATCAGTCCAGGGGTAATGTTTCAGGGTCTTTACTAGTAAATATTTATGTATCTGTATCTATGTCTACCTACCTATGATGCTCTCTAATGCTCACAACCAACTTGTGACTGAGAGTTCTGACAGATTTCTTCCATTTATCAGAGTAGAAATTATATTCAGCTTACCATATACAAGACCCTAAATTTAATCCCCAACAATGGGGAAAAACAAATACAAAATAATCCCTAGATCCGTCTAGTGATAGCTGCACTATCTGCCAGCCCTTCTCATTCTAGGCCCTCCTCCATTGAGGCAAATCAATTTACAATTCTTTCAGCGGTCTTCTTTGGTTTATCTCTGAATTTTTAACACATTTATATTGTGACATGACTCCTCTGTTAACAATTTTATACTTGTCTGTCAGGCAGTGGGGGTGCATGCCTTTAATCCCAGTGTTGCAGCACAAAGCACCAAGGAGCCACATTAGCCCTGAGCCTTCTTGTGTAATTGCCCTTTCGTCTCACCTCTTCACGTGGCATTGCCTCCTATTTCAAACACCTCCGGAAGCTTTACAAATGCTTTCTTCAAGTATCTCATCACTCTTCACCACTACAAGGGAGCATTCCTTCTTATTATGGACCTTGCGTTTATAACCTTATTCTATCTTTCATTAACACAGTTTTGAGCAGCTGGGGAAGCCATTCCATTATAAAACCTAAAATCTTTCTGTTCTAGAAATATTTTTAGCATTATTTGATAAAATTTCATTTCTTCTTTTGGTTTTGTTTTGTCTGGCTGTTTGTTTTTTAGAGAAAGTTTTCTCTACATAGAGACTTTGGCTGTCTACACAGACCAGGCTGACCTCAACTTTACAGAGATCCACTTGCCTCTGCCTCCTGAGTGCTGAGATTAAAGGCATGAGCAGCAAGCCTAACACAACTGTTATTTGTTCTCCCTATGCTATGCCCACTAGTACATGTGTTTCTCAATATCCTGATCATCTTCGCTATGGCTACTTCTCACTTTCTGTTTTACTCTCTGACAGTGGCCTTACTTAACTAGAGCTTCTACATGAGCATTTTACTGTCATTTCTCATGGGATTTAGAAATCTCCTTCAGCATGTGCACTAGTGCTGCTTCTCTGAGCCTGTCTACTAGCTCATTTTGCATCTTTATAGAAACCTTGCCTATCCATTTCAGCTCACAATTAAAGAACTGGCAGCTGCCTGGGCACTGGCATTACTGGTCAGCTGGCAGACCTTGCTGCAGGGGACAGGGGAAGCCCAGGAGTAGGAAAGCTTTTGTCCTTGGCTACTGAAAAGAAAAGGGAGCTTTTCTAAAACTCTCCACCATTGTAAGGGAAAAAGCATGGTGCAGGGCCTGGCTGTGCACACTCAGAGAGTAGAATTGGGGCCTAGAGGCCTGTCCTTTGTAATTGGTATTAAGCTTGCTGGCACTCCATTCCTACCCTCCTCAGATCTTCTATATTCCACAGGAATAAAGGAACACTGATGGTTCCAAGTAAAGAGGCAGAAAAAGTATTTGGGGAAGAAGGGTTCCTAATGGTTCCTCATTTAGAGACTTAACCTTCTCTCCCATTATTGTCTGTCTTACTACCTCCCTTTAAAAGTACTTACATGTTTTCATCTATTATTCCAGAGATTCAGAAAATATATTTATATTATCTGATTCAAAAGGTACTTCTAAAAACAAACTAATTTAGCCATTCTAGTTATTTTTAAATTAGCAAGTTTGTCCAATCTGTGTCAGGCTGACCTTCCCTCCATAGTCACTGAGTCTCATTTGTATATTTAGGTTTTGTATGTTAGTTCTATTGTTTGCTTTCAGCTTGCACGAAGTCTTTAGGTTAGAAAATAAGAAGAATCGCACAATTAGTGTGGTGTTTATTTATTCTAAGAATAAGACATTCCTACAGTAAAGAGCAGTTCAACAACATAAAATCAACAGAGACCTATAAAAAAAACTATCAGTGAGAAGGAAATCAGATCAAGAGAACTGGATGGCAAAGCTCTCCATACTTAAGACCAGGCTGTAATCCACTCAAGCTGTTGGTTCACAAACAACACTAGATATTTCAATACACAAATTCCATAAAGAAGAGCATCATAATAAAAACTTAAGTATATGTTGACTGTTATGCTCTAACTAATGCAGTGGTTCTCAAGCTTCCTAATGCTACCACCCTTTTGAACAGTTCCTCATGTAGTGGTGACCCCCCAACCCTAAAATTATTTGTGTTCCTACTTCATAACTGTAATTTTGTTACTGTTACGAATTGTAATATAAATATCTGATAATAAAGGATGTCTGACATATAACCTTCAAAGAAGTCACAAATGCAGAGGCTGAGAACCACGGCTCTAAGGCAACAGGATTTATTAGATACAGTAATTCAGTAGAACTAATGGTAGGCTAAAAAAAAAGACCAAAAAAATTGTCACCTAAACTGAAATAGATGTGTTCTTTTATTATTTTGTGTGAGTATTATTTTGTGTGAGTATAAAGGCTCACCCTATAGCCCAGGCTTGCCTGAAATACAGTATAGCTGACTTCAAACTTGCAGCAATCCTATTTCAGCCTCCCAAATGATGGAATTATGTATAAATACTTTTAAACAGAGATACCTGCTGTGTTCGGTGTACACACTTAACAGCCATCCACTTTTGCTCAGAACTAAAAGGATATTCAGCTTTTCTGATATAGTCTTGTTGCAGTCCATCAAGACCCATCTGTAAGAATGAAATAAAATTAAAATTAATTCTAATAAACATGCGTTATTTTTCCCTTAACAAGCCATATAAGTCACAACGCACAACATGGTGAGTTAAGACAAATGGTTTGTTTTGCAAGTACTGGTGAAAAAATAGCAATGTTTTGTCTATACGGACTGCATTTCCCTGAAAAACCAGCATACAATTTCAACATGAAAACCTGCATGTATAGATAGAATACTAGACTAAATGTACACCAAGCCTTCATATAGGCTATATTAATCTCTCTACCAGTTCAAATTCTGGAAGAGAACAACATACAAATAAAAGTGCCTAATGAATATTTTCCAATCAAGAAGTTTCATATTTAACCCTTCAGTTATTAGCAACTGGGATGTTTCTTCTCTGTTGCTACCACCTTCATCCTAATCCTTTAGCTCATGTTTTGTAAGTTTCCTCCAGATTAAAACATAGTTCGTCCTTAAAAAGAAAATAAACAATCAAAATTGCTTCAAGTCCTGAAACTAACCACAATCACTAGCCCCCTCCCTTCCAACCTAAACAATAAACACTTCTGAGAGCCACTTTCAAACAAGCCAAGCTACAAAAGAGATTCTGACACCAGACTAGCTGCCTAGAAGAAGCAGACACCAGCCGAGCTACCTAGAAGAGGTTTAGAGCAGAGTCACTTGGAAAGGATGCTCTCCAGCCTGTTGAGCTACCAGCAGGCTGTGCAAGGTGCTCCAAGTTCCCAGCTTCTGTGAGCTGTCACCCTGGTGGAGTGGGCTTTGCTGTGCACCTGGCTTTGAGTCATTTCTACTCCTGGTAAGTAACTCCTCACCCATACTACTGTAAGTAGCCCAAATACAACGCATTGGTTCACCAAGCTGGACTTTGGTGGTATCTGTAGTTTGATCTTTCGCGGGTTCCCTATATGGGGAGACTCTCTAGCGCTCTCTCTCTCTCCCTCTCTCTCCCTCTCTCTCTGTGTGTGTGTGTGTGTGCGTGTGTGCGTGCGTGTGTGTGTGTGTGCAAGCGTGCATATGTGTATTTCTAGGAAATTTTGTTACACAATTGTCCCCACAGTATTATCTCACCTTTGATACCTTTGTCTCTTATTCCAAATAACTAAATGTATTTTACAGCTATGAAAAAGTCCATGTTATTAACTTCTGTTTTCAGAAGTATGTTCAGAGTTCTCTTGGTATTCATATAACCACCAAAATATAGCCTATTTAGCAGTTTCCCTCTGTACCCAAACACCTTTCACTCCTTCCATGTTAGCCAGCTGATTAGCCTTGATCCATTCACTCCATGCTTAATTATTCCTTCGTGCTTTCATTTTAGCTCCTTCCCAGCTATCTGCACAAAACCCTTTCTGTCCTTTAAAGTCAAGCCTCCAACTCTGAACTTGTTTAAGACAGACAGACAGTCAGTCAGTCAGACAGGGCTGCTCAGTGTTTTCTATGTAACTATTTTGCTCTACCTTTTCTTTGTTCCAGAAATGTCAGTATTAATGCCTCTAGGAAGAAGGTAGTGGCTTGCTAAACAGAAACACAGGAAATAGCTGACACCTGGTCCATGTCTGCATTACTCTCCCAAAAGCTACACACATGATATAGAAATACAGATTTCTATAGAGAAAACGTATATATTTTAAAACTGCTGGCCAGTAGTTTGTGTCAGAGTTAAGAGTGCTCGCCTGACATATAGAAGGCCCTGGGTTCAATCTCTACTGTATATATTAAAAAAAAAAAAGGAATGACTAAGTAAATCCAGTGATCATCTTCTTCTTAATTATACTGGCTCTCATTCCCACTAATCTCACATAGAATAATGCTGTTTCATTCAAATTTCAGTGTTTTCTCAAACTCCTCTTAAAAGTGGGAAAGGCTGCTTTTGTTCAGTAAATATCAAGTTGCTCACTGAAAGAAATGAAAATTTAGGATGTAGGCTCAATCTGAACAGATTACAGGAACAGTATTTCCTCTCCCAAACAGATTTTGATAACACTCACTTTGAGAAAAGGATAAAAGGAAGCAGAGATTATAAAAGAAAAACTCATTTCCTATAACTGTATTAGGATTTATACATCAAGTTACTAGAGAATCTTATCTTTCACTAATGTAAAAGTACACAACTATTTCAGAATATTATCTTTTACTCATGTACAAGTATTTAACAGCAACTACACACACTTTTAAGGCTTTTCACATACAGATCTCAATACTAAAAACACATCTATCACTGGTCATTAGGTTGTACCTTGCAATGAGGAGCAAGATACACTGAAACTGTTCTAGTCTACATTTTTAACTGATCCCAATGCCAGTTAAAAATAATGAGAAAATGAGCCTTACTGAATACCTAGAAACACACTAACGATGAATCTGAAAGGCCTCACATTCTGCTAGCATGTAACATCTTACAGGTCAAAGATATCAAACACGTACCTTCATCGCAAGAGCAATTAAGGCTCCTTCCGTTGGCTTTCCCATCAGAGTGTTGTTCCTAATCACAGCATCATTGCACACACAGCCCGCCTAAAAGAAATACATATGAACTATATAAACCCATCACTCTGGCTTAAGTCATTAGGAACTAGGTTAACTTCTTGAATATATTTTTACCTCAACAATTCTGCTAACAGCTGGGTTATAGAATCCATGAACAACATCACCATCAACAATTACTTCACCAAACTGATTATAGCCAACTCCAGTAACCTAAGGATAGCACAAAGAATACAGTAATAACACTTAATGGCAGTCAAATAACAGTCTGAATAATATTCATGTCATCTTCTAGTCATGCTGTTGGTAATAGAAAGGCTTAACAATAAAATAAATCTAAAACAGACAATTTAATATTAGAGGAATATAAACTCTATATAGGATACTAATTAACCTAAAAAGATATTTTCATCCACTCAATGATAGATTATTAAAAAACAAAAAAAACATGAAAAATTTCTTTATATAACAGTACACTACTGCTTGCAAACAAAACTCCAACCCACTATTACCACATCTAGCCTTTCACACAGACCTGAGGGCAAGTAAAAGCTGGAACTGGGTTTCCAGACAAACAGTCTTAGGGACAATGAAAGACTCAGCCTGGAACTGACAGACTGCTCTGACAGGACAGTACATGGCCATCCTAAAACAAAATCATGTGTGAAAACAAGCCAAGTATCCCAAGTGGCTAGACGCTGGGTGAACAATATCATAATGAAAATAATAAAGTTCAGAGGGAAAAAAATGACAAATCATTAGTTTACCATAAAATAACTCTAAAGAGAAACTAATATACTGCCTATCATATATACAAGCACAGGTAACTCCCAATACCCTTCTGAAAGAGAAGCACATACAGCCTTGGGTATCCTTGATGAAACCCAGCAACTTATATTCAACAACCTCACTTTAAGGAATATGGAAAACAGATCTAAACAAACCCAAGGACAAACTTCTGTAAATTTTTCTAATGTTTGTTTTCTTTGATAAATTATCTGTAAATTTTAAAAAATTTGTACCCTTCATAACTACTATTAAGAATATTCTCATCAGAGAGTCTACAAAGACTGGGAGGGCCTAGAACTAGCCTTCCACTGCTTCTGGAAAAAGTACCATACAGAAATAATCAATACAAGTTTATAAAACCATTCATTTGTTGCATTATTCAAGTATTTACTATGATGTGGGTAGCCCTGGGCTGGTCAACACAGCTCCTGCTCTTGACAACACATCTAGCAGGAAAGAGGGAAGGAATCTTCAGTTGGGATAAAGACTAGAATACAAAGAACATATGAAGAACAGGCCAGTTCTCAGTACTCAGCAAAGCTTTCCTGAAAAGTAGGGAGAACCAATATCAAAGAAAAAGAGGCATTCAGCTATTTTACATGGTGGGCCAGCAAAAAGGGTCATGGGAGAAATTCTGCTACACGGAACTACAAAGCTAGTATGTTTCATGTACCATAGACAAGCAGGGATAGCTAAGACTGGAAAAGGCCACACAGAGCCTTAAGAACCACAGTTCAGAATCCTCTGCATTATGGAGAACCAGTGAAATAATGTGGGGGTAATGTGCTGCATCTCTACAAAAGTCACTCAAACAGTGCAAGAACCAAAAATAAATACAGAAACACTACTCAAAAGGATGTATTAGAAGGCCAGGTGAGAGCTGTGCAACATGGCCTAGAGAAGCTAGTTATAAAAGAAACAGATATCCAGAAAGGTAATTTAGGGTGTCAAAACTGGCAGGACTTGGTGATGAGTGGATGAAGAGTGAATTAAAGAGACACCAAGGCATCAAAGTTCTTAAATTGTAAACACAACATGAAACAAGTAATAAGATCACATGTAAAGAAAAGAGATTTTGAAGATAAAAACATTAGAATTGTTAAGCATTTTAAACACTAAGTTTCTTTTAAAAGGGTAGACTTTTTAAAAGAAAAGAACTCAATACCTCAGCATGCAGACCATCTGAAGTAAATATGTGAGTGACGGTCATTTCATTCTTTGTCAATGTTCCAGTTTTATCTGAGCAAATCACATTACAGCAGCCTAAAAATAAATCACTGGGTGTCACCACAAGAATTAGAGAAAAACAGGTCAACTTAGAAAAGAATAAAACATTGTTCTAGTTCTCTGAATTACCAATAATTATAATTATTTACATTATGTCTGCTTAATCACAAGGTAAAGTTAATGAAGTTAGAAACAAAATTTAGATGTGTACTTTTTCTTAGTTCATACAAGTAAGCTACTTCATATTGGTTTTGGCCAATGACTTTCAGAATACATTTTCTAGGAAATTTAGAAGAGTCTGACATGTAAACATACATAATTTCTTCAGCCAGGATTTTTCAAGATATTGTAAACAAGATATTGAACTTAAAATATTTCTGGATAACTACATTGCTATTAAAAGAAGTTTTGTGATATTTTGAGAAGAAAGTTGTTCAATCAATATAACCAGGATATATTTACTGTTCTACCTAAGCAGGAAATTGAGTTCTGTAATTATCAACTAAACAAAACAAACAAACAAACAAAAAACCCATTCTATTAGTTTTTCTCTAAGACATCATTTGCAATATATATATCAAAAACATGATCTAAGCATTGGCATATTCCATAATGCATAAAGATTCCCCTTGAGAAAAATTGTAATTGTCTATTTTGGCTGTTAAAACTGTGTCTACTACATTGCTTGGCCCCAATATCATTATGTTAATAACAGAGAAACTGTAAAGTGCATTGATTCTCTCTCTGCCTCCGTGCTTTTCATAGTACATACATACCAAGTGTTTCAACAATAGGTAGTTTCTTCACAATAGCCCTTTTCTTCACCATTCTCATAACACCAAGGGCTAGTGTCACTGTGACCACAATAGGCAAACCTTCAGGAATTGCTGCTACAGCCAAACTATAAGCAATGAATACACATATTAAATTTTAAGTTGACAAATGTAACAATATTCCTACTTCCCAACATTAACATTCTGTTCTACTTCTGTAATCAATTTACATTTTTTGTTCTTTGTTTAGAGGTTGTTATAAAAGCTGAAAACAGGGAACATTTACAAAAATACTTTGCAGACTGACTACCCTGAAGGGTTAAACACTTGCAAATCTCTCTTTCATCTGAGCAACTGTGAAATGAAATCCTTTGCTCTCGTGCTTCCACTATGTCTTACTAGACCCACTCCCCAAAAAAACACACACCATGATTTATAATCCACATCTAACAAGCCTTCTCAACCTTTTACCCTTAAGTCATTTTACAAATAGCATACAGAAGACTAGATTATAAAAAAAACTCCATTAGAATGTTTTTAATCCTAATCCAAAACTGTTCCCTATTTTGACAGTCTATAAACCTGAAGTGGGTAACATCTGTTGGGTACAGTGGACTGTTCAACTGCAATTAATGAAGTATAAACATTTCAAAACACATTTCTAACTTATAACCCTGGTTCTCCTTTGATGGTCTTGGGGTTTTGTGTGTTTGCTTGGGTTTTGGGGTTGTTTTTTACTTTCTGAATGGTCAGGTCTCGTTACCCTGGAAAAATCCATGATCCTCCTGCCACAGCTGGGTAGCAGAAATGATCCACCATACCCAAGCAGCTATATCTGCAGCTATTTTATCATCAACTGACACTAATAAAAATAATGAAGGCACTTAACTTGGTGAGAAAGGAAAGTCAGATTGTATGTTAACTGTGAAATATTTCTGTTCTTAGTTTTTTGAAACATTATAGTGGTTAAGTTTCCCATTTCTGCATAACATTTCTTTGTAATCACCTTCATACTCAGACACTTCACTTACATATAAACAGTATGAAGGGAACAACAATGAGCATCATTAAGAATGAAAGAATTCCACCATATATTGTTTTGGTAAAAAGGGATGGTTTAGATTCTTATTAGAAACATTACATGATAAAATCTTTACTGCGAAAATAACCAGAAGGGATCTTTTTCACTTTGTCCTTAGAAACACATTACTCATTCATCAACTCGGGAGTTTATAGCCCTGATACTTCAATTATATAGTTAACTTCACCCATTTGTACAGTCCAAAGAATTTCTATCTGGTTTTCTGTATTCTCCTTTGTGTGGTAATTGTTTAGTCATCTATCAATTTTCTTCTTTGCCATTATAATGGAACACTCCAGAATTCTCACTTTTGATCAATGAATGCCTCAAAAAATTTAGGAAAATCAAGAAAAAACAAAAAAACCACAAACCTATAAAGACCATCTCTAAGATTTCTTCTATACTTCCTTACATGTGATATAGTGATCAAAAAATCCTTAAGGATAGTAAAATAATGATGGTTTATTACTATACCAACCTTCCACTTCCAGGCAATTCTATCATTCTACTTTTTTATATCAGCCATTTTTGGTACATACAGAAATCATTGTTAAATTAATTCTTAAATAAAAGCAAAATGTTTCAAGAAATTAGAAAAATTAGATCACTAAAGTTTCCATCATGAATTATATGTTTATACTTGAGTCCAAGCTGAACCATGGTTTTTATTCTATTAATTTTTTAATTTTTGTAATGTTGGCATATACTGAAAAAATAATAAAATACTGTGAATCCCTATGAACAGAATTACTTTAAGGAAAAAAAAGAAGAAAAAACACTAAAGAAGTAAACCTGGCCCTATCATATGCGAACAATATCTCAAACACATTCCCCATTTTTATTTCATATTTAATGCCCCCAACACACACTTTTTAAACAAGAGTTTTAGCTTGAGCTCTAGCTCCTTTATGATGTCACAAATACCTGAGAGAGTAGGTGTCTCTCTTCTTCCTATATATTCCTTATACCCAATTTGTCCTTTGGAAATACTGATTTTTGTTTTATTTTGTTTTAATATTTGAACTTTTCCATCCTGGTCTACTATACAGAGATGCACTAGGTGAGTTTTATCCTTTCTTACATAACCCCTCATCTTCCCTTCACAAACACCCTGAGCATTTGCTATTTTTAACTGATTGAACTAATACTTGGACTGAGCATAATCTACAAACTTACAATCATTTTCCTCTGTTGTTGATAATCAATGTCCCACCATCTTACGCTGTAATCTGATGTTACTATAGATGAAAGGGAAATAAGATGTTTCCCTTTCTTCACCTGAATAACTCTAATTCTGTTTTCCTAGTATCCTGATATGAAGTATTATTGTCCAGTTTGTTGCTGGGCCACACCATTTACAACAGATTAGGTCACTGACAATCCTTTTCTGATCTAAGAAAATCATAATTATGTTACAAGAAGCCACAGTTATGTAATATCTAAGTACGTGACTCTTTTAACTAACTACACCTGCATCGTTACAAGCACACTCAGCAGTAAATGAGGCTAACTGTAACCCAGGGTAATCCCAGAACTCAGGGCCTTCGTATCTGTGTGCTTGAGTGAACAGCTGCATGCTCTGCTGCAGGAACAATGAACTGGCCCTGCTGTCTTCAGGACACACGTACTACATGTGGTCTGTGAAGAGCTAAGTTAAAGCATTTAGTACAACTTGTGGGAACCCATAGATAATGAGAAGTCTGAGAACAACCTAACTATAGTTCTTTTGTAGATGGCTTGTGTTCCTCAGCCTCACAGTGATGGATCGAGTGTAGCCTATAGCCTTTTCCATCTAGCTTGGTATATGATAAATTCATTCAGTCTCTACAAACCCAGGTTGCACTTTATCTTGAGATGATACCTTTCCTGTATGGTTTTCTTTTACTTCTTCTTTGGAAATAGTACTTCCTGAAACTGTTCTTCTCTGCTTTTATCTCATTATCTTTCATGGGTTTATTTCTTTCTTTGTTTTGCTATTTTCTCTCTTGAACTTCATATTGAATTTTTAATTTCAGCAATCAAGATCTTACATTTCTAGAAATTCTTTAATGCTTGTCTACAACAACCTGTCCCTCTTTCAGGGATGACAAATGACACGTGATATTGAGAGGTTTCCTTTTTCTTTGAGGGCTGATTATTCAATTATTACAGTGTGGTTTTCTACTTTATACTATGAGCTTTTGAACATTCCTTGTCTACCTACATGCAAAAATACAACAGTGAGTTACAGTCGAGTCTGCTTTTACTCCATTTTCCCATGAGATCATTTCAATATATGGTTTTTGTGAGGCAAATAATGTAACTATATAGTATATACATTTATATACTATATATATATGTATCGTTATAATATATCTGTATGTTACATATAATATGGTATATATTATATATGTATATTATATATAAATAAATAAACAGGATATGACTATTTAAGTAGAAACATTTATGGGCTTCACATAAAACCAATCTCCATAATGAAATGAACTCCACCAGAGAAGAGAGACAAGAGAATGCATATACAAATACTAGAACTTACCTTACACTAATAGTAAACATTTCCAAAATGTCTTTTCCTAGTAACCAGCCAACCAACATGATGATACCTAGAACAAAATTAAGTACTTATTTTTCCTTTTTCTAGATAATCACCTACAAAGGCTACATGAAGAAGCTCAAGGGTACATAAAAAGGAAAGTATATCCCCTAGAGTCTGCCCTGCATGGTCACGAGCAGAGCTTCATCTTCTCTGATGCTCCAATTCATCTCAAAACAGAAACTGACTGCAAAGAACAAAGAACACTGACAGCATTTGCATCAATGAAAATGGAGGTAGATTTATAAAACATATAGATCTTACACTTACTATCAACTTTACAAACAATAGTGTAACTTATCTTACATACATCAATGAGGCACCACACATAAAGTATATACTTCCTATAAAGGTATATATTTAGGACCACCTCAAAGAAACCTGGATTTCTTACTAAAATATTCTTAAAATTAAAAAATTTACTAAAAGCATCTATAAACAGCAATAACCAAATAAAAGCAGCTATAAATACCAGTTAAAAGAAAAAGCATTATCTTCCTGCCTCCTAAGGTAACAACTAATCACCATACAGATATAAAACAGATTATTTTCACTGAAACTACACAAGGGAAAAAACTGCTTTAAAATGCATTACTGACTCTAAAACACTAAGAATTATAATAATTAAAACAGTGGGAAAATTAGGTAAAATACTAAATTAAAATTCCAAATTAATATATATGCTATATATATATATATATATATATATATGATACAGATGTTATTTCAAAATAAATAAGCAGTGGATTATAAAATTAGTAGTATCAGGATAATTAACTTTTGAGCAAGAAAGTTACAACTCCAACTTAAACTACATAATTTTAAAAATAAGTGTTTGGTTTAAATTTAAATTATTAACTCATCTAAAAACAGAAGGTATTTTTACACAGTTCCATGCAATTTTTTTATGCCATCTATATACTACACAATGTTTAAAGCAGGGAAAATATAGCTTTCTCCTTAAACAGTTACCATTTCATTCTGATATTTTTTTATTTGTTCTCTGAGAATTTCACACATGTATACAATGTAGTTTTAACCTAGCTACCCTCCCTCCCTTCCTTCCTCCATCCCTGCAGCTCCTCCAGGATACATATTCCCACACACACATATCCCTCTCAATTTCAAGTCTTCATTTGTTTTATAACCCACTGAGCCAATTTAGTGTTGCTCTTATGCAAATAGGTGAAGGGTCATCCACTAAAGCATGAACAACCTAAAAGGGGCCACACCCTTGAAGAAAACTATCTCTACATACACAGAAGCCACGATTGCCAATAGCTCTTCACTTAGGGGATGGAGATTCATGAGCCCCTCCATACTAGAATGTTGACTGACTTGATCTTTTGCGGGTCTCTCATTCAGATAACTATAGCAGCTTTGAATTCATGACACAAGATCATAGGACCGTGTCATTTTCTGAAGACACTATTTATGACTCTTACAAACTTTCTGCTTCCTTTTCTACAATATCCCCTAAGCCTTAGTGGGAGTATGTTAGAGATACCTCGTTTAAGGATGAGCACTCCAGCCACTTATTCTGCACTTGAACCAATTGAGTCTATTAATCACTGTCTACTACGCAAAAGCAGCTACTCTTTCTTTGAAGTTGAGAGTTGCATGTATCTAAGGGGACATGAATAAGTATTCAGAAGGCAGCTTGATACTATGCAAAAATGCAACAGTAATCCTATCCTTCACACTCAAAACAGGAAACCCAAGAAGCCAATGAAATGGCTCAGTGGGTAAGGGAGCTTTGCCATCATGCCAGACAACATTTGAGTTCAATCCCCAGAACCCATACGATGACGGAGAAAACTGACTTCTACAAGCTGTCCTCTGGCATCCACATGTGTGCATATATGTATGCAAAATATGTAAAAACAACAAAAACAGAATACACAAGTAAAAACTGTATATATACTCACTCTTCTCTTACCTATTATACCAAAAGAGTAAAAGGACAGCTGTTTGCCTAAGAGGTCCATGCTCTTCTGCAGAGGAGTTTTGGGTGCCTTGACAAATTGGAGAAGACCGTCACAGTTAGTTAAATGTAATATATTTTCCAGGTGCCGGGAACTCCACAAAGCACTTGAAATGCACATTCCTAAGTTAAGCACACAACTCTCCTAGAGGTTAATGCTCCCACCTTCACTAAAGAAACTAGAGCCTATGTCACATGGTGCAAGTTACACAGGAAACAGTAAAAACTTTCCACTTTAAAGACCTGGCTTACTTGAAAGCACTTCTCGCTATGCTTTCCACTACGTTAAAAAAAATCTTCTGCCAGCTTCTTCCAGACTTCATTTCTGTCAGCTATTCCTGCCATTTTCCAGTTTTCCTCTCTGTACCCAAACATGCCTAGTAACCCAAGTTTACACTTTATTCTTTGCCTTCCTGATCTGCTAATCTTCTTTGGTGATCTTTCACCACCAAGCTTCTTATTCTACATTATACCACAAACGGGAATCCTGGGAGATTAGTGAGGAAATCTGGATGATTGTGGAAGAACACAGCATTTACAAAATGCAATTTTTATACACACACACACACATTGTGCTAAAGTTTTGGGTAGAGGATATGATCTGAGTTAAAAGCACACCAAGGGGCAATGGGTACATATCAGTGGAAGAACATGTGCTGAGTACATGCTATACATTAGGTGAAAAAATCCCCACCCAAAGTAGTAACAGAACAGACCCATTTTCTATAAGGAATAACACCTGTCAAAAAATTGACTATGAATCTTTTTCTAACATAAACAATAAAAATAAGAACCTTTCAGAATAGTGGCAATGTAAATCCAGGGCCTTCTAATTTTAGAATTTCCAATTGTGTTTATAAGCAAAAATAATGAGCAATATCCTGAAGAAAATAGTCTTCAACAGTATATTCAAGAATCTATAAATACTTACTTTTCTACTACTTAAGATACAAAATTACAGATTTGGACAAACTGCTGACAGTAAGTACTCACTTCTTCTGCTTGCATCATCTTAAAAACCTCTCCAAATTCAGAATTTTCTCCTGTTCCAATGACAATACCCTAAGGGGGAAACCAGGGAAATTCATTTATATTCAGATGGGATCACTGACAACTAAAGAAAGAAAAGAGAAAATGGGGAAGATAAACAACAAAGATCTTCCATTTCCTTTCTGCAGTCTTACCTCCAGATCTGAGATAAATATATTCCAGATTCTCTGTACAAATGTACATGTTTATGTTACTTTTATTAAAATGCAGACCCTGAAAACAAACTGCCCCAAATGTGAGACCCATATTTTAATTTTAAATGCTCAATAAACATTTAATGCTGCTTCTTGTAGTGCCCCAATCCATTCCCACTTCTATAAACAATGGTGCCTTTTTTAAAAATTATTTTATTTATGTATATTGTCAGGTATGGGTGCTCTGTCTGTTTGCATGACTGCATGTCAGAGGAGGGCATCACATCCCATTACAGATGGTTGTAAGCTACCATGTGGTTTCTGTGAATTGAACGCAGGACTTCTAGAAGAGCAGCCAGTGCTGTTAGCAGCTAAGCCATCTTTCCAGCCTAAATGGTATATTGTATATTGGTAAAATATTAAAAACTAGGAAACAGAATAGTTGAAATACATCATTAGGTGAGAAACATATAGTGAGAATATTATAATCAATACTATTTAAAAAATAAAAATAAATGTAACCTTAAAAAAGAGAGACTAGAAACAAAAATGGGTGAGTGGTGTAGCTCAGCAAATAAAGGCTCTTGCTACCAAGTATGATGACCTGCATTTGAACCCTTACAGCTACAGAGCTAGAGACAAGTGATTCACAAAATAGTCCTGACCTCAATGTACATGCCATGGTGCCCATTTGCCTATACATACACATACATATGCACACAGAATTTAAAAATTTTTTAAAGAATATAAAAATCTAAATCACCTTTGCTTTGCCACATCTGACCAGCGTTCCCATGAAGGCAATGTTACTTCTGGATGCAAGATCTCCATTAGCAGCAGCAGCTTGAGGAGCTGTCACCTTAGAACAAGGAGTTGTCTCGCCTGTCAAGCTGGACTCATCAATGGATAGATCTACAGCCTTGGAAAACAAGTGTTTCATAAATTTAAATTAATAATACCTTTCACATTTCAAGAGTTCATGACCACCACACTTCTTTCAATATTCACATCCAGCCATTAGCTACATCTTGTTTTATATCCATTACTAGAAAAAAAGGCTAGATCAGTATAGACATACATGTTAAATGAGGTTATCAAAACCTGATACATGCAACAAAGAACGCTTACCATAAGAATAGGTTACTCTAAAATTTAAAATACAACTAAGGAAATGGAGACATCAGGTGGAAACTACAGCTAAGTACCCAATTTTCCTAACTAAGTATTACTGCTTAGTTTTGCTATATCTCAAATGCCACACCCTTGGGAATAGCAAAGCCTCCTCCCCGATCCTCACCCTGGGAGGATATGAATTTAAGTCCTAGAAAACAATATGAAATCAGGCATGGTGGCATGGCCTTGTAGTCCCAATGTTGGGGAAGTGCAGACAGGACTCTAGGGCTCACTGGCCAGCAACCACTAATCTGGAGCCTTGGGATCCACTAAGGTGCCTTGTCTGAAAAAACAAGGTGGACAGCACCTGAAGAATGACATCCAAGGTTGATCTCTTGCCTCCATAGGCACAGACATGGGCACCAGCCCCCACCCCTCCCCCAACACACAACATTTTTAAGAATATTTGAAGTTGATTTTTATCCTTGTCTATAAATTGCTTACTTTCTAATTCAAGTACTTAATGAAAAAAAGGGTCCCTGCAATTTTTATGAGTAGATTTTTTTTTTTTAAAACATGGCTACTATCTGCCATTCCCCAGAGAGAAATATGGGACGAGAGAGATCGTTCAGCAATTAAAAGCACTGGTTGCTCTTCTAGAGGACCCAGGTTTGACCCTTAGTATATAGCAGCTTGTATTTAACTCCAACTCCAGGAGATCTGATGCTCTCTTTCAGTCTCCTTGGGCACAAGGCATGCAAATGGTGTACTGGCACACATGCAGGCAAAACACCAATGCCCAGAAAATAAAACAATAAGCTTAAATTTTGTAAAGAATCTTGAGGGGTTTTTTGTGTGTATATACATATGTATATATTGAACATACACACACACACACACACACACACACACACACACACACACAGAGGTGCGCGTGTGCACACACAAAAACCCTCTGTGAAGAACCCTAGACATCAAACAGACTGGAAAAAGATAAGTGAACTGTACTATGTTTAAAGAACTAACAAAATCAAGAAACATACTTTAGAGAAAATATTAGTAGAAATTACATAAGAAAATGATTAGAAATATAGGAGCTCGGGTTACAGCTCAATGGTAGAACACCTGCCTAGGTTGTATGAAGGTCTGAATTATTTAAAACAAGACACAGTTCAATCAATTAATATTTATTATATAAACCAGGAACTGAAAATAAAGCCTGAAGGAGAAATTACCTAGAAGAGGTTCAACATAAAAAAATTAAAAAGAAAAAAAAAATCAATCAATAACTTGGAAGTTGGGACAATTAAAAACCACTAGTCTAAAGGTTCAAGAGATGGTTCAGAAGTTAAGAACACCTGCACTTTTATAGGGGATCAGGGCTCATTTTCCAGAAGTCATATGGCAGCTCATAAATCTGTAATACCAGTTCCAAGGGATCTGACACCCTTTCCCAGACTCTGCAGATATCAGGTATGAACTTAATTCTCATACATACAAAATACTGTTTTAAATCACCACTTGGGCTAAAGAGATGACTCAGTGGTTAAGAGCACTGGCTATTCTTCCATAAAACCCAGGCTTAATTCCTAGCATCCATATGAAGGTACATACCTATTTTACCTCTTCTGACCTCCATGGGTACTACTTAGTGCCCAGACATGCGTAGAGGCAAAGTACCCATACAAATAAAGTAATAATAAAAATTTTAAATGAAAATAAAATAAGAAATACTTTTTAAAAAAATCACAAGTCTAAAGAACAGAATGAAAAACAATAAAAAATAGAGATGAAGGATCTGTGTGTAAGACACTATCAAGCAAAACAAAAACACGCTACAGGAATTTCAGAAAGGGGAGAGGGAGAGAAGCAGAGTAAATACCTGACAATATAATGGCCAGCAACTTCCCAAACTTGATGAAAAACACAAATATAAATAATCAAGAAGCTCAACCAATCCATAATGAGAGACATTATTAAAAAACGATGGGCAGGGAGATGACAAAAAATAATAAAATAAATAATAATAATAATAATAAAATCTTTAAACCAGCAGGAAAAGCAAGTTCTATCACTTATAATAGAGTCACAAAAGAATTCACAATCCAATTCTTATCAAATCAAGCTGAGTACTACCATGCCTCACTGCTCTCTTCTACCATAATGTAGTCAGCTGCTCCAAGTTCCTGATAGCTTGACTTCCCTGCCATGATGGGATTATAACCATGCACTGTTAGCTAAGTTGTTTTTGTACACTAAGACCATGTGTCCATGCTAGCTGCCAAGAAAGCACCCCAGATCTGCCTGTTTCTACCATAATTCTAGGGTTCCAGACATGTGTAAACATGCCCAGCTCTAGTTATAGTACTCTAACTCACTCAACCAACTCCTTAGCCCCAAAGAGCACATTTCTTAAACTATGCTCATAACACGGGTTGAGATCACATTAATTGTAAGGAGTCATAAAAAATTTCACAACAGTGAACAATTTTTGAACATCCAATAACCATAATACATTCAACATCCAATATAAACTGAATGTGAGTTTTTGTTGTTGTTGTTTTTTTTTTTTTTTTGGCAGGACTCAACAATGTTGAACTGGGCAACTTCACTGTTGCCTGATTTTGGATATACAGCATGTACTTTGTGTATACAGTCACACTACACTTGGCATAACCACTACTAATGTAGCAGGGATATGATGGCTAGGTTGTCAACTCAACAACATTAGAATTAACTAAAACCAAATTACTTGGCACACCTGTAAGGGACTTTTTTTCCTTGATCAAATGATTTGAAAGGGGAAGACCCACTTCTAATCCAATTTTTTTTTTTTTTTTTGGTTTTTACGAGACAGGGTTTCTCTGTATTGTTTTGGAGGCTATCGGTCCAGCCCGGCCTCGAACTCACAGAGATCCACCTGCCTGCTGGGATTAAAGGTGTGCGCCACCACTGCCCGGCATCTAATCCAGATTTTTTGAGATGGGAAGAGCCACCTTTAATCTGGACCACACCTTATTCTGGCAGTCTGTATAAAGCATGTGAAAGAAGGAAGTTTGTTCTCTCACTGCCTGCTAGCTCTCCCTCTTGCTCTCAATTGAGTCCCTTCCTTTAGTGGCATTGCAGCATACTTCTTTGGGATTCCAATATATACTAAAGACCAGCTGAGACATTCCAATGACCAAAGACAATCCAAGACCAGTTGGATTGAACAACTACTGGACTTTGGACCTTCAATTGGTAGACAGCCATTGTTGGACAAGCTGGACCACAGCCTGTAATCCATTCTAATAAATGTCTCCCCTCTGCCCATGCGTGCGTGCCTCTGTGTGTGTGTGTGTGTGTGTGTGTGTGTGTGTGTGTGTGTGCGCGCGCGCGTGCTGCTTAACCACTAAGCCATCTCTCTAGTCCAAAATTTAATTCTTTATGTAAAAATTAAAAATATCTCCATCTCATTGGTAAACTTGTTTTTCCCTTTAGTAAATGGCAAATTATATGCACACTGAAGAACTGTTATTCTTTTGTGATTTATTGCCTGCTAATGATTCATTTGCAGACATATTTTGTATACCTACATTTGGAGTCACAAAAAAATTTCTCATGCAAAAAGAAGTCATGAGTGGAGGGATCTGGAAACATTCCCACAGATAACAAGACTGCAGTGACATAAATAATAAAACAGCAGAAACCCTTCCCTACAAGCAATGCTTCAAATTTAATTGCATTAAACTTACTATGTGTATATCCATAAAACAGAAAATTACATGACAATAAAGAGTAAAGTACTAGATGAAGTACCTGAAAATATTATACATATTATACGACTCCTTTAAATCAATAAAATGTATAGAATAAGCAAACATACTTTAGTGTCAAAAAAATCAGTGGCTATCAGAGGTAAGGACACAGTGAATGCTAAAAGATAAGGAATTTTCTTTGGAAAGAGATGAAACTTTATAATTAGACTGGAGCAATGGAAACACAGCTCTGAACAGGCTGAAAACCACTAAATGTTAGATTTCACTTGTGCATATCTTATCATATGTGAATTATATCTCTAAAAATACTTAGGCCAAGTATAGTGTATTCAAATCTATGATACGTTGGAGGGAGGGGGGAGAGTCAGCCTGCTCTATATTTTAGAACCTGTTTCAAAAGACCCTGTCTCAAAAAATATAAACAATGTATTTTTAATGAATTTGTAATGAGGTAGGTACATCTCATACAGAATCTCAAGTCACCAGACCATGAACACCCAGATGATTTCTATGCGTTTCCAGAGAAAGGATGCACTGTTAGGCAACTCTGCCTCTCATTGAAAAATTAAAATACACATTCAGTAGAAACCATACTTCGATTTTTCCTTTTTTCTTTTCTAAGATTGCAATATGATATTCTCATATGGTTCTGGGCTGTGTAGTAAGTCAGACATCTGAGTCAAATATAGAGTCGCACTGAGTAAGCAATTACTACAGTGCATTATGTGCCTGAAGCCATCATAAGTTAGGTACTTGCAATTATTTTTGACACAGTATTTTAAACTTTCTGTGGGCCTTTTGAGACATAATACCTCCGTGAGTCAAGGAACTCCTCTACTGGAATCCACAGACACTAATATTCTTCCCCTATCCTGTCCTACACTCTCTTACCTGATTATTGAGTTCTATCTTACACTGCTCTATGATCACAAATACTGGATTCCCTACAAAACATAATTCTATCACAATTTGTCACAATGGGATGGTAGTTGACTAAGTGGATACCTCTAAAGACTTTATAGCAAAGTGCATATAAATGAGGACTGACACACACACACACACACACACACACACACACACACACACACACACACACCACCACCACCACCACCACCAGATACATGCTTACACTTGTCACTATTTCAGTCAGAATACTAAATATTTCAAATAAACTATATGTTAGTCATTACACTGATAACTCTTTAATTAATCAATATCCATGTACTCTCAACTTACCTCAAATAAGCGTAAGTCCGCAGGAACTCTGTCTCCCACAGAAAGGCAAACTGTGTCACCTGGAACCAAGTCTCGGGCAAGTGTATGCTCCAATTTTCCTTCACGCACACTGTAGCATGAAACAGAAATATCACAGTAAGAAAACTATACTATTTCTCTTCCAAGATTACATTTAATTTCAGTGACCCTGTCTTATGAAAACTGTTACTTCCAAAGAGATAAGTCAAATATAAAAACTAAGAGCACAGGCTAAAAGGATGGCTCAGTGGTTAAAAAGCACATGCCGTCTTGCTGAGGAAACAAGTGTAGCTCCCAGGACCCACATCAGGTAGCTCATAACTGTCTATAATTCTAGCACTAGAGAATCTAACACTGCCTGCCTCCTCGGGCACCTGCACTCACATGCACATATCCACACACACACACACACACACACACACAAATAATTTAAATTAATTTTAAAAATTAATCTTTAAAAGCAAAACAAAAAAGCTAGGCATTAAGATACATTTTTTAATACCAGCATTTGGGAGGTAGAGGGCAGAGGCAGGCAGATCTCTGAGTTTGACGATGGCCTGGTCAACATATCAAGTTTCAGGCCAGCCAATGCTACATAGTAAGACCTTAATTAAAAAAAAAAAAGAAAGAAAATTCTTATGTACTTGATTAACTGTGTGCGCTTATTAAATTACACAAGTTACAGAGGGGAAAAAATCATTGGAAAAAGTGATTAGTGATTCAAATATGAACATTGAGACTATCTTGAGATATATTTCATTACACTGCTTTCATCAATTACTTAGAAGAGTATTTAACATACATTCACTCCTGCACTTAAAAGCACAAGTAAGCCAAACTGAACACAGTACCATCAGCTACATCCCTGCCCTCCTACAGGAAGATAGGAGGCAGAAATAGACTCCCCAGATGTCCCCAGAAGGGCCAGCACACATGGTAATGAACAGGACAGAGTCTGCCTCAAAAAATGTAGAAGGTGAACTCCAACACCTGAAGTAATTTTCTGACCTTCCCAGGTGTGTCATGGCACATGCATGCCCATACTCCACATATGACTATGCACATACATGGACAATTTTTTTTAAGCCTGTTGAAAAAAGCGGTGCCAAACCATTACAATGTTTGCTATACTGATAAGATTTTTCTTGTCATATTCAATAGTCTGTTCTTTAGGTTAAAACAATGCTTGAACAACAATGCTTACAGTGCTAGTCACATTCAACTTCTATTGTTTAAGGTATAGAAATCTCTTTCAAATAGAAGGGACATACCAATGGCATTCTGGTGGGACAAGTTTACTCAATTCTTCTAGAGATTTTTCTGAACGATATTCCTATTTAGAGAAAAAGTGGAATTTATTAGAAAAACACAAAGAAATCCAAATGATCCTTTTAGACTTAAATATTAATCATTATTACTTAAGTTTCTCCCAATTCATACCTTTATTTACTTATCCTTACAGTCTTAACCCATAAATTATTGTAATCAAACAATTAAAAAATTAAATACTCCCAGTCATACATTTTAAAAGTCAATGTGCAAATCTAAGATTGTTTAGAAGAAAATGAAAGCCAATTATTACATCCAAAGAGTATAGTAAAAGTTAACTTGAGTCTTTTTTTTTTAAGATAATTTTACATTTGGGTTTAGCAGCCAATAAAGCCAAAATAATCTGTATGTAATGTTTACTTTGAAGACTTAAACCCACACTGACTATTCTAGTTTGTGAAATCAATTTGCTTGGAAATAACAATGTGGCTGATACTATTTTGACACACTTTTCTTGTCAACCTGAATTATATGAAAGGAAAATTTCTGACAGGCCGTGGTGCTCTTCTGCAATCACATAACCTTCCATGAACATAAACAACAGCTGTGGGTCAGACACATCCTCCATCTCACTGGTTACTTAAGCCTATGCTTCCATGAGTGGTTGTGCTTCATAGAGCATCAAGGTTATTCTTGCCTCGTGTCTAATCTTTTGGCCTGAAGTTAAAGGGTAAGGGACAAAAGCAGGAATAAAATATAAGCAGAGTCTTGAAACACCTGCCATGCCAGCACTCACCAAGGCTACCAATCATGAACTGCTTCAAATGAGAATGGAAAGCTGTGTAAGAGTATCTCAGAACTATATCAGTTACTACCCAGACAAGAGGGATAAATGTAAGCACAATCTACAAATATAAAAAATTAACACGCATGACGCCTCTCAATCTACCAAATACAGTGAAGAATTTGGAAATGTTATACAAAAATTCTATACAGGTAGAAAATACTAATCAACTGTAGTCTCTAGTAACTAATCAAACAGAAGCTAGCAGACTTTGTCTTTGCAAAGCTGTTGTAAAAGGAGCCATTCTATGACAAGCCAGTGACTTGAGGGGCTAGGAAGAAGGAAAATGGTGGGGGGAAAGGTTTAGAATTTGTTTGTGAAAGTATTTTGTTGCTTTCTTAGACATGTTTAAGGAAAGGGGTTATATCTGTATAAAAACATACTTATTAAAAATGAAGTTTTTTCATAATCTTTTCAGGCCTTTTTATTTCTCAGCTGTGGCAGTTTGAACATAAAATGTCGAATAAGCTCATGTGATTGGATACTTGGTCCCCAAGTGGTGGTGCTACTTTTGACAGTTGTAGAACCTTTAAGAATAGAGCTTCATTGGAGGATGTGGGTCACTAAAGCTGGCCCTCCGGTTTCATATTCCAACCCACTTGCTACCAGCTCTAGCTCCCTACACCTGTAGATTTAAAAGCAACCGGCCACCATAAACTCCTGCCACCACACCTTCCACAAACTCAACTCTTTCTCCCTCGAGTTACTTCTCACCAGATATTGGGTCACAGCAATGGGAAAAGTAGCTAATGCAGCATTCAAATAAAACTACCACTGAGACACCAGCAACAGATGCCAGCCACATTTAAAATACAAAACACACTCCATGTAAAACTCCACAAAGATTATTTTAAAACTCAAACTCTATGGGGGTATTTTGAGGATAGATGTTCTTTATTTTCCAAAGAGGGCAAGTGGCTAGGGCTTTTCATACAGTGGTAATATTTATATGAAATCTTCCATATATCTGATATATTAATGAAAATCCAAGAGGGAGATAACTGCCCAAATTTAGGGTAAAGAGTTATAAAAGGGCTCCAGTTACTAAACCAGTATAGATCACACCACTCACTTATCTAAGGAATGAGTAACTTCCTTAGATGAGGCACAGCCTGGAATGGCTTATACTACATTTGCTACATTTACCAGCTCCAACAGCCCAAAGACAACACTCTGTTGTGAGAAGATGCCCCATCCTGAACAAGAACACTGGTAGTCTACTAAAGGAGCTCATAAATTTCCAAGTAATCAGACTCCAGCTGGATTTCTACACTGTTATTACAGAACTAGAAACTGACTTGTTTCAGGAACTACTTTAAGACACCAGCACAATGACAAAAGTCGCCAGGAAATAAATTATACATAATGTAAGAATAATTACAATCACTGTCTTAAGAACCAAAGCATGGACCTTGGGACATACAGCATCATTACATTTCTCTCTACAGTAGATTCAATCCTTCTACTCTTATTAGCCGTATTCAAAGTAAGACCTGATAATACTAGGAAACTTCTAAAACATATAGAAGTTTCAAACATTTAAATAAACACAAAACAAGCGTATAAATATGTTTTTTATTTCTGTACTTGCTAACCTGGCACCATGCCTGGTGTGTCATGATCCCTTTCTTCTCTGCCCCCTCCTTTTTTCTTTTTCCCCTTCTTCTTTGCATAAATGTAGGGTTCTAACATGTGGCCCATGTTGGCCTGGAACTGACAATCCTCCTGCCTCTACCTGAGTGCTGAAAGAAACCATGACACCATCTCCACATTATTCAGAATCATCCTTAAGAGAGACCTATCTGCTTCTTTTGCTGTTTGAATGACTATAATGACTAGGAAGTAGAATCACCCCTTCCACATAAAATAAGAAATTTTAGAAAAAATAACTTTAATTACCAAATAAGACTAATAAAGCTAGGAAAATAATTCAGTGAAAAAGTACATGCTAAGAGAAAACAGCCTCAGGAATCTGTGAAGTTTTCTTCAGATGGTATCTAATAAACTGCCTAAGCAATTTTAAGCTCACTTCTTTTTTGTTCATCTTAGACTTAGCACTAATAGATATTGATCCAATTTTATAACTAGAAAAAAATTAACTTAATGGTGGATTATATACTACTATTTTTTTGTTTCCATCTGTTTCTACAATTAAAAAAAAAGGGCTATGTTCATCTCACTATCTAAATCAAAGCCATACCCTCTTCTCACAAACTATTCACAGTTGGCTATTATCTGAACTTGTTTTCAAATAATAAATGATTAGGAATACACTACCACCCAGCAAATTCAGATTATTTCACATAAGTCACTTTAATTTGTTTTTAAATGATCAACTAATACACTACTAATAGCCTAACAGAACAGATTGCTCACCTGAACAAAGGCCACAGTGACGACAATCAGTATTGCCTAAAAACAAACAGCCGTTTGAATGAGACATTAACAAGAAATAACTTTTAGTCATATTTTGTTCCTCTGGCTATGCAGTTCCCAAGAGAATGGATTTTAGCACTAAAGCAAGTGAGAGAAGAAATCAATTTGCCTTGGGATGTGAGGGAAAAGAATATAAATTTAAATGGCTAACCATCCCCTTGACAGTTTCCAATACTTTCTGAATCCACACAAGGCCTCCCAAATTAAGAACTTGCTTTTATTTTTGTGGGTAACATCTGCTATAAATGACACATTAATTACTTGTTTAATTTTATTTCTACATAGTAACTTACAGAAACAACTTTAAAGTCCTATACACATTAACACAAATAACTTTTCCTGAAAACTAATAATATTTTTAAAGTGTCCATTTTCTCCCAGTGCTGATTTGTCAAAATATGGTAGGCAAGGGCTCTCTCTATTGCTGAGTTAACCTTGATCCTACATTTTCTACAGGAAGCTGGAATCCAATTGATGTGTTTTTAGGCAGAAGAAGCATAATAGAGTTACAAAATCAAGACTCAGACCAAAAAAAAAAAAGTTGGTAAAGGAAGGAGTATTTGTCTTTCCAGAATACAGAAAATGTTATCTACCACACTAAAATTAACATAAGTTACTTAAAGGTAAGTATTGTACTGTACAATACAAAATTGTATGAACTTTTTATAATCTGCCACATTAAATTCAGTATTATATACCTATGTTTTTTCAACTGAATCTGTTGATCTATCTTTTTTTCTACTGAAATTTGGTCTCAGACACCAATCATTTGGAAAATACTGGTTCATCTAATTACTCAAATATAAATGCTGACATGTACTAAACTTAATAGTAATTAAAATCATTATTAATGTCAGTGAGGTTTTAAATATTTGGAAGTTATCTAAAGTTCATAGAAATGCATGAAAATCTATAGTAACTTTAACTACGACTTGCTCTTATCACTGGCAATATTACTCTTTTTTGTTAGGTTTATTTATTTATTATGCATTCAGTGTTCTTCCTGCATGTATCCCTTCAGTCCAGAAGAGGGCACTAGATCCTATTACAGATGGTTGCTGGGAACTAAACTCAGAATCTCCGGAAGATCAGTCAGTGCTTTTAACCACTGAGTCATCTCTCCAGCCCACAACACTATTCTTTTAAGTAAAAAAAGGTTGCTTGACCTCACAATTTTCCTTCCTTAACACAGCTACTGTATTTCAATGTATACATGCTTCCCATTCATCACAGACTATTAAAAACATATATACTCAGGAAAAAAATGTATCAAGAACATTCCAGACATATGAAGAAGGGTCTCCTTTACTATGTTGCCCACAATACCCTGGGATTTGCTATCCCCCTGCCTGTGCCTCCCAAGTAGCATAGCTGGTGTTAGTGTTGTATACTCCCACACCCAGCTGCTGTAACTGTCTAAAAAGAACAACTAAAAAAACAATAACTAGTGATACAGCTTAAGGCCACTTCCAATTGTGCTAAAGCTCTAACAGTTTTATACATCATAACATTTGCCATTAACAAAAAAAGACCTATAGTAACAAGAAAATGTCAGTGTTATTAAAAGTTTTATATCACAAATTCCTTGAACAATTACTATTAGTCAAATATTTTCAACTGAGAAGCAACAGGAATTTTTATTTAACTAGAAAATTAAAAAATATTTCTTATTTATGAGACTGACTGTACATGCCTATAATCACAACTACCGCAGAAGTTGACACAACAGCACAGTTGAGGCCAGGAGGACAACAGCAGCCTGAGTGACATAGTAAGACCTCTATCTCAAATGAGAACAAAAGAAAATCACAACTAAAAGTGTATTTGATTATTTTTAATATGATTCATTTTGATTCACTTTAATTAACCAAACACAACTGAAACAATTAACCAACATATTAAAAATTTTAACAATAAAAGAGTTTACTTACCACAGTGATACTGACAGCATCATCAAACTGATGCATTAAAATACTGATGACTGCAGAAGCCAGAAGCAGCATAATAAGGGGATTTTTAAACTGGAAGTAAAAAGCAAACAGTTCAACATTCTTATATGAAAGACAATTCAATAAAGGCTTTTTTTAAGAAGGACATCATTATAAAATTACAAGAGTCTATTATGTGGTTTATTCTCAAGCAACAATAAAGTAGAGTCCATGTTTAAAAGTCACATAACAATTTCTTTTCAGAAAAGGAAAATGAAATATCAATATTTGCAATAAATAATTTGCTAAACTGGGTGGTGATGGTACACATGCCTTTAATCCCAACACTGGGGAGGCAGAGGCAGATGGATATATGAGTTCGAGGCCAGCCTGGTCTACAAAGCAAGTTCCAAGACAGTAGGAGATACACAGAGAAATCCTATCTCCAAAAACAACAACAAAATTGCTAATTCTTTATAGTACATATGTATGTACCTGTAGCAGTATATGAGTTTTTGGTTGTTTTTTGTCTTTATGTAGTTCAGGCTAGCTTCAAATCCATGATCCTCTTGCCTAAGCCTCCGAGTATTAGAATTATAGGAATGCTTTACCACACCTGGCTTGCAGCACGGTATTAATTTAACAAAGATGGGTGCCTGAATTCCTGAGGCTACAAAAAGAAGAAATGGCTTGTAACCTAAGTACTGAGGCTAAAGACAGAAAAATAAAACTATGCCTGCCATATAGGGTATGGCTGAATAAAAGTAACTAGCTTTGATTCTAGCTGTGCCACCTGTGTGGTACATAATCTGAGCACCAAATGGAACCTTAGATGAAGGAATCTGTGGTAACTAAGAAAGAGACTAAAGCACTAGGGAAACCATAGAACCCTCTTTAATGTTAGCTGCTAGCCATCACACCTTGGTGGCAGAGCCTTTTACCACCCCTAAGAAGAGCTCTGCCATGGTTATAATTAAGCATGCCACTTCCAGAGTATCAGACAGATGTTTACAGAACAAAAAACTCAATATTCTCCTGAAGAAGAACCATGCAATATTGTATGACTCATAGTTGATATTTGATGTTAATTGTTATTTATGCTTAACTATATGCCAGGCACTGTTTAGTTCTTACAGGAATTCCTAGAGTTAGGCACTCTGGCTTGGATAACAGGATCACAAAAGAAAACAACTCAATCACACGACCAACTGATGAGCCAAGCATGACAGGAGTGTTCTATGAAACAGGGCCCACGCAGTCCTATCACCCTTAAAGTTTCGTTTTGTACTTTAAACAACAGAATGTGCAAAGCTTATCTCATGAGCTGATGATACCTTGTAAACAACTTAAACTTTTTAATTCCTTCACAACAGTTTTCTTTACTCAAAAGTACTACTTCATTTAGCACACCAAACTTCACTACTTAAAACTAGCCACAGAATCATCCAACTTTTTACATCAAAGCAATTGTTGCCAAAATTTTAAAACCTATAGTAAGCCTTTGCTAAAAATTAAAATAAAGGTAATTATGAATGGCCATAATCTACTGTGAGCTTACTATTTCCTGAGTTCATCAGCAGTCGAAGCAAACGAAAATCACAGAGCTAATAAGGTATAACTTACACCCTGGCAGTTAGGACTCATTTATGCATTTAATAATTCTCTAAAGTGGCCAAGATTACCTGCAAATATACCATCCTTCTGTAACGAAGAAGCCTCCACACAGAGGCCACTGTCTGGTGCTGCTTGCAGACAGCCCAGCAATACAGAAAAGGCTGCTTTGTAGCTACATTCACTTTTTAGCCTCTGCCTAAAATCAAATGAAGAGTCAGAACTAAAACTATAGACATTCCAACTTAAAATGTAAATTTCTAGGGAAAAAACATTATTTCCTTTCTCTGTAGATAAATCTCAGAAAATTCAAACTATAAAAGTCAATGTAAGTTACACAGCAAAGATGGAGGAGAAAGCATCTTACCTGCGAAATATACTTCCTCCATAATGGTTCATCTTCACTAATATCAAACTCATTCCAGCCATGGAAGGCTCGCCTATGACTAACTTCAGATTTGTTTAAGCCATTTTGAAGATCAGCCTATTAAATTTAACAGTAAAAGTTATTTAAAATGTTACAGAAAGAAACAAAACACAAAAGAATACATAGTATATGATCACATTAAAAGAAACTTTATTTTGGGGGGGGTTTCCAAGACAGGGTTTCTCTGTGGCTTTTGAGGCTGTCCTGGAACTCACTCTGTAGACCAAGTTGGTCTCGAACTCACAGAGATCCACCTGCCTCTGCCTCCAGAGTGCTGGGATTAAAGGCGTGTGCCACCACCGCCTGGCTAAAAGAAACATTTTTTACTGTATATAACATTCTGCCTGTTAGGTTTATCACATGCTTGCATTGCCTGAGGAGGCCAGACAAGGGCACTAGATCCCCTGAACTGGAGTCACAGACATTATGAGTCACTGAGTGGGTACTGGGAACTAAACCTGGGTCCTCTAGCAAGAACAGGAAAGAAGTGATCTTAGCCAATGTGTCATCTCTCTAGCCCCTAATAATCACAGGAAGTTTCCCAGGGATTGTGTATGGGACCCACAGCCATAATACTCAGACAAGATTAACTATGAAGGTACATGGAAAAGCTTTCTGAAACAATAAAAATGTTCTATATTTTAGCAGACATAGTGACTCACGCTTACAATCCCATTACGATATGCACACATGGAATTCTCAGGAGACTAGGGCAGGAGAATTATCCTATGTTGGAGAACAACCTGAGATACACAGTGAGTTCTAGACCACCAGTCTGAGCTACAGGGTGAGATTTTGTTTTATTAGTGGTGATCACATTTGTCAAAATACACACTTAAAACTAGTGTAGGGTGAACCTACTTTTATTTTGATAAATGGGCAAGTCAAACTGCCTATTAAATACTTATTTATATCCACAAACTAGTGCTGTGTTCAGACTTGATCTTCTCTTTACCACAAATGGCAGTAAATGAAGATTTTCCTGGCAAGTCAAGGTCCTGAGAATAAGTGACTTCTGAGTGTTTAGCACTGAACAGGATAAATATCTACTATCTTAGAAGCATGACATGGCCAAGGCACTCATGATGTCACAACAGCTATAGTTTCCTACATAGGCCCTGTTTAACACTGTCAGTAAATATGCAGTCACAGATCAGGGTGGGGGTTCATGGAGCCCCACCCTACCCAGGGAAGCTAATGGCAGACAGGAGTTGTGAAGAAGTCATCACTGTTGTCAGTGATGTAGACGCCCACCCAACTAGTCTTAGCTAAACCATGTGGGACACAAAGAAAAACAAAAGGCATAGAGGGTAGGATGGGGACTTGATGGAAGCTGGGGATGGTGAATAAGAGAGGGAAAGTTTGAGTGTAACTAGAATATATTATACCCATGTATAAAAATTATCAAAGATTAACTTTTTAAAAGTCCGCTGGTATATATACATGAATACACATATATTTGGTTTTTTGAGACGGGGTTTCTCTGTATTGTTTTGGAGGCTGTCCTGGAACTCGCTCTGTAGACCAGGCTGGCCTCGAACTCACAGAGATCCGTCTGCCTCTGCCTCCTGAGTGCTGGGATTAAAGGCGTGCACCACCAACGCCCAGTCAAAAGTCCACTGATATTTTATATAAATACTGTATCAATAAGCAACAAGATAGTATTTTTCTTTTTTCTATGAAAAGGAATAATAAATGTAAACCATAATCATATATATTTTAACTAGTTTTTAATTATTTTTCTAAAATTAGCATTTCCAAAGGAATATTCAGTGGGGTTTCAAATGCCATTCCTGTTCTCTGAGTTTATTAAACCACTGAGATTTTTTTTGCTCCAAGATTATGTTATATCAGAATAAAACTTTGGGTGTCCTAAATTACTCAAGATGATAAAGGTAACATGTTCTTGAGACATGGCAACATCATCTAACCATTTACTATCATGATTTTAACAATCATATAAAATGAAATTACAACATCCCAGAAATGGCTTATTTCCCTGGCCAGCAAATGGGCAAGAGTTCATTAATCAAGCTTTCTAAAACTTAAAACATATTTAAAATAAGTGGTTTTAAAACTAAGTATAAATATACCAAAATAAAATTCCTTCAAAAATTAGTATTTTTGAAACAATTAAAATGGCTGAATGAAAAATACTCTATTCTTCATGTTTGACTACTTTAAAACTAAGAAGAGAATAAAATTACATAATTAATATTTACAAACCTGCACTTGTATTTAGCTTCCACTTTACCTTAGAAAAATATATTTAAATTAAAAAAAATTCCTGGTGGGCATGGTGGCGCATACCCTTTATCTCAGCACTGGGGAGGGAAAGGCAGGCTGATGTCTGTGAGTTTGGGGCCAGCATGGTCTACAAAGAGAGTTACAGGACAGCCAGGGCTGACATCCTATCTTGAAAAACAAAAAACTCCTAACACCACTTATGTTACTAATTAAATTAATTACTTCCCCAACCCAACTGATAAAGGGTGCAAACAGATGCTGGCCATACTATTTATCTTGAGCTGTACTGCCCAGACACCACACACACAGATATTTAAATTAAACACAGTTGCTCATTACTCCAGCCACATTTCCTGTCATGTTGTGATGTTTAACTGGGGGCTGTTATGTAGAGAGCACAAACCAGTACTGCTATCACTGAAGAAAACACAATTGGTCAGCACTGCCTTAATCTAAATGTCTGCTTTACACTTCCAGCCCTCCTCTTCACCAACCACTTACTTGGAGAATACCTGCAACCTCACTGACTGGTAATTCACTTGCTTTCTTTGATGTCAATACAGGAATCATTGTCTCATTTTCACCATTAGGTATTTTTTGAAAACGTGCAACCTAGGAATAAAAACAAAGGAAAATTGTTTGAATATACTAAACAACTAGAATGTAGTCTAGAATAATAAATGAAAATCCTAATATTCACAGCAACTTATTTTCCACTTAGTAAAGTGTATTCATATTAATAGTGAGTATCTAAGACAACTCAATATTAACATTTTCAAAACCTTGGATACCTATTAACATAAGGTATAATACAAAATCTCTACATTTCTTTAAAGATGCTACTTCTCCATCAACATAAGATTAAAAAATAAAACATGTCTTTCCTGTCAGATTCTGATGACTATACACAATCATAATCCTATAAACTCATTATGTTTAATTCGAGGAACAAGAACTGCTAAGCTTTCTCCATTTTAATTGCTCTCGTGCTCACTTCACTTTTCAGGACACCTGGCTATCCTACCAAAGACCTCAACAGCAGGCAAGACTTTCAATGCAATTCTCAAACCAGGAGGAAACTGAGATGCTCAAGGCCGCAGACAAGCAGAGGCAGCACAGGTTAGCTGGTGGGTTAGGGACACACAGAGTAAGTCATAGACAAGCAAAGCTACTTGCTGGAAGTATAGCTCAGAGGTAGAGCATATGCTGTAGGCTTAACAAGCTTAAGAATCTGGGTTAGGTGCCCAACACGAAAAAAGCAAAAGCTATTGAAAAGTGCTAACTCTGACACTCAACACACAGTATAAGAGCCGTATTCAAAGTTTTCAAGTAATCTTTTGAGTGGTAACTACAAAGGGTCTACATTTGAGCACACTTTATATAAAAAACCCTTCAAGGGCATTCCATGGCCCAAAAGAGCTGAAATTTTCAAGAAGTAAGACTTCACTTAATATAGGATAAGACAGTAAGGGGCTGTGTGACAACTGTCTAAACATATCAAGGGCTGTTTTGAGACACTCTCCAATTTCAACCACATCTACTGTGTATTGAACCATACCAAGTATGTTCACAAGTGAAGGAGAACTAAGCAACTGGAAAGCAAACCATCCAAGCCCTGCCCAAAATGCTGTCACCCCAGTGAGTACTCATAGAGGCAACAAGCAACAGATGCTTAAATAGAAACAAGAAGACAATGAGCATCAAGGCATGAGGGACCTCCATGAAGGATGGGAGGTCTCCAGGAACCTGGCTTACCCTAACTGTTGAACAGAGGCAACATTAAGACAGAAACAGAACATAAAACAGGTGTCACCCCAAAGGAGGAATCACTTGGGGAAATCCACTGAGGAAAGCGAGCAGCAGCCCCACTGATGCCCGTGAAGAGGCGTCATCCTGAGTGCAGAGGTGATGACACTGCTCTGCAGGTAGAGAAGGCGTCCATGAGTTTCTTAAGAATGAAACCCATGTTAGGAGGAACTGAAAGAGCTTTATGCTTTTGTTGTACAACAACACACCACAGTGTGTGAACTGTGTGGCTCAGCAGCTAGCTGTCTGCCCTCTGGTGGTCTGAGCACCTGTTTCTCTCCGGGGCAAGTCTATCAAATTTCAGGTGCAGTCGTAGTAATTTCTACACAGACCCCATCTTCCTCCTCCAAGAGAATGCTGCTTTCTCTGCTTAAAAAAGTTTTCAAGACTAAGATTTGAAGACAATCTCTTGCAACCTGGAATTTACTGTCAGTGTAAGCTTACTCGATCTGTTTTCAAGTAGGTTTACTTCCTACACTCAATCTAAGGACCCAGGTACAAAAGCAGAAATGCTGACAGTGATTTTGGGATCAAGACTAGGGGGATGGGCGGAACCACCTGATCTGGAAAGCAAGCAAGCAGCCTTTATGGAGCAGATACATAAAGTCCTGGTAAAATTTGTATGACTTGTGTTTTTATATTCACCATACACACCTGTTTAATTGTTTCAGTCTATTTCATTGACACAAGAAATAGAGAGTAATCAGCCAGGTACAAATGCATCCAGGTATTACTAGGTTTTGCACAATAAGAAACTGGGAAAGGCCAAATAAGACGCAGAGGCATAAAATAAATTTGAGTTGGAAGTTAATCCCCATGGTGCACAAGCTTGTTTTGTGAGTTTGAACATTCAGACAATTTTTCCATGCATGGATGCATATTCTTAACATTACTGGGAAGTTCTAGTTTCAACATAGTCTAAGGGACAAATTTGAAGTTTGCATGTGTATGTGTGATAGTGTGTATGAGAGAGAGGGAGAGGGGGAGGGAGAGGGAGGGGGAGGGAGAGGGAGAGAGAGAGAGAGAGAGAGAGAGAGAGAGAGAGAGAGAGAGAGAGAGAGAGAGAGAGAGAGAGAGAAATAGGGTCCCTACCAAACTAGTACTCAAGAGATTGACCTACCCCAGCCTCCCAAGTGGTGGGATTAAAGGTGTGTGACACCTCACGCCTCAAGATCATTTTTTTATTTAAAATAGAATTAAGCTTGTTTTACATGTCAATCCCAGTTCCTGCTCCCTCCCCTCCTCTCCTGACCCCTACTAGCCCCCCATCCCCTCCCCTTTCAGCTCCCCAGGAAGGGTGAGGCCTTCCATGGGGAATCTCCAAAGTCTGTCATATCCTTTGGAGCAGGGCCTAAGCCCTCCCCAACGTGTCTAGGCTGACAGAGTATCCCTCTATGTGGAATGGGTTCCCAAGGTCCATTCATGTGCTAGGGATAAATACTGCTCTACTACCATAGGCCCCATAGAATGCCCAGGCCTGCTAAATGACACCCACAATCAGGGGGTAATGGGTCAGCCCGATGCTGGTTTCTCAGCTATCAGTCTGGGGTCCATGTTCTCCCCCTTGCTCAGGTCAGCTGTTTCTGCGGGTTACCCCAGACTAGTCTTGACCCCTTTGTTCATCACTCCTCCCTGTCTGCAACTGTATTCCAGGAGTTCGGCTCAGTGTTTAGCTGTGGGTGTCTGCTTCTGCTTCCATCAGTTACTAGATTAAGGCTCTAGGATGGCATATAAGGTAGTCATCAACCTCATTATCGAGAAGGGCATTTAAGGCAGCCTCTCCACTACTGCTTAGATTGTTAGTTGGTATCATCCTTGTAGATCTCTGGACATTTCCCTAGTGCCAGATTTCTCTTTAAATCTATAATGGCTTCCCCATTATGGTATCTCTTACCTTGCTCTCCTCTATTCATCCTGACTCAACTTTCCTGCTCCCTAATGTCCTCCTCTCCCATCTTCTCCCCTTCTATTTCTCCTAGCTCCCTCTCCCTTCCTCACATGCTCCTAATTTGCTCAGATCTTGTCTGTTTCCCCTTCTCCAAGGGACCATGTATGTCTCTCTTAGGGTCCTCCTTGTTTCCTAGCTTCTCTGGTGGTGTGGATTGTAGGCTGGAAATCCTTTGCTCTATGTCTAAAATCCATATATGAGTGAGTACATACCATGTTTGTCTTTTTGTGACTGGGTTACCTCACTGAGGATGGTTTCTTCTAGTTCCATCCATTTGCCTGCAAATTTCAAGATTCCATTGTTTTTTCCACTGAGGAGTACTCCATTCTTTAAATGTACCACAGTTTCTCTATCCACTCTTCAGTTGAGGGGCATCTAGGTTGCTTCCAGGTTATGGCTATTACAAATAATGCTGCTATGACCATAATGGAACAAATGACCTTGTTGTATGAATATGGATCTTTGGGGTATGTGCCTAAGAGTGGAATTGCTGGCTCTTGTAGTAAACTGGTTCCCATTTTCCTGAGGAATCTCCATATTGATTTCCAAAGTGGCTGTACAAGTTGGCACTCCCACCAGCAATGGAGGAGTGATTCCCCTTTTTTCACATCCTCTCCAGCATAAACTGTCATTAGTGTTTTTTATTTTAGCCATTCTGACAGGAGTGAGATGGTATCTCAGAGTTGTTTTAATTTGCATTTCCCTGATGGCTAAGAATGTTGAACACTCTTAAGTGTCTATCAACCACTTCCTTAAGTGTCTATCAACCATTTTTGACTCCTCTATTAAGAATTCTCTATTTAGTTTTGTAACCCACTTTTTAACTGGATTATTTGGTGTTTTGGAGACTTCTTGAGTTCTTTGTAAATTTTGGAGATCAGCCCTCTGTCAGATGTGGGCTTGGTGAAAATCTTTTCCCATTCTGTAGGTTGCTGTTTTGACTTGTTGACTGTGTTCCTTTGCCTTACCGAAGCTTCTCAGTTTCAGGAGGTCCCATTTATTAATTGCCAATCTCAGTGTCTGTGCTACTGGTGTTATGTTCAGAAAGCTGTCTCCTGAACCAATTCGTTCAAAAGTACCTCCTACTTTCTCTTCTAAGAGTTTCAGTGTGGCTGGATTTATGTTGAGATCTTTGATCCATTTGGACTTAAGTTTTGTGCATGGCGATAGACATGGATCTATCCACATTCTTCTACATGCCAGCATTCAGTTCTGCCAACACCATTTGTTGAAGATGCTTTCTTTTTTCCATTGTATGATTTTAGCTTCTTTGTCAAAGATCAGGCCATATCAGGGTTTTCACTTCAATTCCATTGGTCTACCTGTCTATTTTTGTGCTAATACCAGGCTGTTTTCAGGACTATAGCTCTATAATAGAGCTTGAAGTCAGGTATGGTGATGCCTTCGGAAATTCTTTTATTGTACAGGGTTGTTTTGGCTATCCTGGGTCTTTTGTTTTTCCATATAAAGTTGATTGTTGTTCTTTCAAGGTCTATGAAGAATTGTGCCATATTTTGATGGGGGATTGCACTGAATCTGTAGTTTGCTTTTGGCAAGATTGCCATTTTTACTATGCTGATTCTACCTATCCAAGAGCATGGCAGATCTTTCCATTTTCTGGTATCTTCTTTAAAGACTCAAAGTTCTTGCTATACAGGTCTTTCACTTGTTTGGTTAGCATTACCCCAAGATATTTTATGTTGTTTATGGCTATTGTAAAGGGTGATGTTTCTCTGTTTTCTTTCTCAGCCCATTTATCTTCTGTATATAATAGGGCTGATTTTTTTTTTTTAGTTAATCTTGTATACTGCCACTTTGCTTGAAGGTGTTTATCTACTGTAGGAATTACCTGGTAGAG